AATCAAAATTTTGTAACAAATATAAAGGATATTTATAAAATCATAGTACCATCCAAAATATAAATTTAATTTTAAGGATTATATATTATTTTACTCAAATTATTATATTACTTAAACAGTAATTTGAAAAGTTTTATGTTCTGTTACGGAAATTGGGTGTTGCATGAAATTTACTGCTGATTTTATATTTTATACGGTGATATAATACAAAATTCAATTTTCTTGATGATTATTACCCTATATTATCAGAAATGTTGGAAAACAAGCTGGCAAAACATCGTAATAGGCTATTTAAAAACTTGTTAGATGAATTTCATAACAGAATTTTTTTTTAAATCTCAAACGACCTAATAAAAATTTGAAATCTTAAAGTGAATATAAATTTTATTTCTATTTTTTTTTCGATTTTGTACTGTGATTACGGCAAAAATCTACATATGGAAAGCAGATTTTAGATTTACATTTTTTGCACTTAATGAACCTTTGATAAATGTATTAAGTTTATATTAAATTGATGATCAAGTAATGGAAAAAATATAGATGAACTCATTTGCAATATTGTTCTGGTAAATTATTAATCAAATTAATTAATAAATAATAATTAACTAATAATTAGTCAAACAAATTCAAAACCCTCATATATCAAAATTATCCCAAGAAGAATGATTTTCTTGTGTGAATTGTCAAAAAAATGATAATATTTCGTTTGGTACAATCTAGTCTTAGTAACTAGCCAATTAAAAATGAAACTTGATAAAACAAAATAAAAAAATATTTTACATTCGACCGAAATTGTACATCATTTTAAAATCTTCAGTGGCAAATTACTTAGAATTATTTATTTTGCGCTGGACTTTCCATATAATATAAAGATAAAGCTATTTTATCGCAAGGTGGTAGAGGTCGATCAAAAAACTATTTTCATCACTGATTCAAGTTGAAATTATAGAGCAAAACTCAAGTTCAAACGTGAGTTTGTGAGCAGAAAATAAAAAACTCAATTCAATAAATTTAGAATGTATTTCAAAGCTAAAGTTATTCTTGCTAGTGCTATTAGACAATAATGCATTTTTGCAATAAGGACATTAAGTTATATGCAGCCAACGTCGTCCTACTCGTACGCAACTTCCTTGTAACGCCTTCGTCAAATAATACGTTCCAGATAATGCAAAAAAATTGATTTAAGGGCCACAAAGTAAACTTTATCTTAGAAAAGTCATTTTTAATTTCTTCAGATATATATTAAATAGAAATAAAAATGAAAGAAAGCTCATAAACCATAAAAAAATAAATTCATTCACAAATGAAATGGGTACATTACAGTTTGTCAAATGATCAAAATTAGACCAAAAATAATGTTATCTTCACACGAGTATTAAAATATTCTGATTCCATATAATTTCATTCCATTTAGTATTTGGGTTTTTTTCAAGTAAAATTACTTAGCAAACTAATATTGATATAATTAATTAGAATGTATAACATGAGAAAAAATCAAAAAAATAAAATGCTTGCTGAAAATTTATTTGCCATAATCGACATTGAAAAAATTGCATCCCTTGAGATAGTTTCCATATTTACCTTTTTTTGTACTGAATGAACAATTGATTTAATGTTCTAAGTAGCTTGTTGAGTGATAATTAAGCAATAAAAAATTATGATATTATATAAAAAATAAAATATAAAAAAAAACAAAAAATATTCAGTTGATAATTATAATGCAAGTACACATCTCCTATATTGCCCTTGTTCTTTTTTGTGGCAATAATAGAATTTTGCAAATATTATTACCAATGGTTCCATTTTAACCTCCTGAATCATATTTTATAAAAGATCAAGCAAATGTCTGATATCACTACTGCTTGATATCAAGCTGGCCGAGATAGAACCAGTTGCTGTACCAAGTTGCCATGGTCAGCTCATACGTAAGATAAAAATAGAAATAAATTTAAGATATGTCAATGATAAAAGTGATATGGACGTATTATTTGCTTCGTAAATATAAATCTCAGGAATGAATGAAACATATTTTTTGTGTCCAAATTAATTATGCCAAAAATTATAAAATGGCAATGCCTGTTATGCACTCTTCTAGAAATTCTTAGCGAGACTAGTGTGTGCCTTTCACTTGCCATAACAAAAAAAATGCACGGTTGCAAAACATATGTGATAATTTTCCTACGGCCGCGATATAATATTGGTAAAAAATAATTTCCATGCGGAGGCATTGAAAATAAGACTAGTAGTGCATGGCATCGTGCCTTAAGGCAAATTGCTGAAAATTCCCATACCGAAAATTGACTTTTTAGATTTTTTTTTTTTGAAAACTGACAAAAATTTGCTTTTTAAGAACTTTGAAATTTTTTGAAAATTCAAAATAAAATTAAAGCTTGGTACGGAAGCCATAAAAATATAAACAAAACAAATATTATTAAGATCTCTATAATATATCTGATAATTTGATTTGCATATGTCAAATGGCATTTTTTTTACTCTTCTTATTGAATCTTCGAATCCACAACACTTGTCTTCTCAAAAATGTAATCAGTTCTTCGCTACGTCAATACAAAAAAAATGTTTTATGAACCATTTTTGGCTCTTTTTGCGGATAATTGGGAGTCTAAAATAGAAATGTCACGTTTTTTCTTAAAGCAGTTCTTAACATATGTTCGAATTTCGGGAAATTTAAAAAAATGATGGAATCTTGTCATTTTATAAGAAATTTTGACAAGCTATTTAGGAACCGCGTGTTTGTTTCGTTCAGGGCAGTCAAATGTCAAATCGTTTGTTTATGACCCTGTCGTTATGCAATTTCAAAAACAACCCCTCAGCGATTTTTTTTAATCGCAATTACGTTCTTTTCGAAATGTAAAATTTTTGGGCGGAAAAAATCTATATTATTTATATGCTCGGTTAACATGGTCTTTAATTGTTTGGTATTTTTTGAGTTTTTTTATGTTGATGAAGGCGTTTACTCAGATTTTGGCTAGTTTCTCCGATATAAAAAAGTTCGCAATTAGAGCAATTATTCTGTTCCTGAGGTGGTCAGAATTAAACTTCCAATTATATTTATTTCGTGTAAAAATGAAACTAAGGATAAGATAAATATATACATTCTATACATGCATCCTTTTTTCTGAAGTATGCCAAAATGTTCAGAAACCGTTGAAACGTAAAGGTATACAAAACATTTCATTTTCGATTTTTTGCGATTACCATAACTTACCCTACGAGAAGTTAAAAAAGATCAAAGAGTTACAAAAGTACTTTTATCATGACGCGAATGATAAATCATGATTAATAAAATTTAAATTGGCGCGCAACCGATGAGTATATTTATTATATAGAGACTCGGCTTATTGAAAGCTTACATTATTCATTATAGACAAATGCATTCTGATGTCAATGAACAAATATGTAAATACAAACCCTATACTGTTATTATATTCAACCAATTTAATAAATAATAATTAAATTTCTTGTGTAATTCACTCTTATAAATTGATTAAAATTTCCAATTCATTTCTCGTCTCAACTCAATATGAAAGTATATAAAAAACTTTAGATAATCAATTCTTGGAGCAGCGGTCGGGGAACATTTTTAATCATTACCCCAAAATATTTTTGTCTGAGTTGATATTACCCCCAAGGCAAAGAAAGATTACCCCTCTACGATCCACTACGTAGCAAATACAGTAAATATCAATTAAAAATACATACTTTTTACTCCAAAAACTCCATTTTTACCCCATTTGGGGTAATTTAGCCCAACCGACGTCTTGGAGTAACTACTTATGAATTTAATTAAAATTGAGAATCAAAAATTTGCACAGAATATTTTTTCAGACTATTACTTGAGCTAGGTTTAAATACAACCTGATTTGTATTATATACAAAAGGATATGTCAAATCTTTCTTACAAATCTACTGTTAACTAAATATTTATTTCTTATTATTTGAAAGCATGAGTTAGCTTTTATGTGCAGTTTATGTTGTTATTTCCTACAGATTAATGACTTTGGCAAATTGCCCGATGTAGTTTTAAATTTAGTTATAAACATATTTGACTTCTCTATAATAAAATGAATAGAGTTCATAATTTATCCACAAGATGTGAATTAAAATATTTTTAACTTCCCGTAGGGTAATCTTTCGTCGTCGATTTCGAGAACACCGAACAACCGATTTGAATAATTCAAAAAACATTCGATTCGTCTTGATAAGGAGACGTGCTGATTCGTTTTTGGAGAAGGCAGGTCTAGCCGTTCCAAAGATACGGGGCAAAAAGTGCCAAAAACAGTAACTCAGTTTTTCAGAGAACCGAGCGTCCGATTTTAATAATTCAAAAGACATTTTACTTGCATTGACAAGATGAAAAACTGATTACATTTTTGGAAAGGCAGGTTGTGGACTCTCAATAAAAATAAGTTAAAAAAATGTCATTTGGCGGTCAAAAATGTTTATTGGAAATATGTACATCAAATTATTAGATATTTTATAGAGATTTTAATAGTAATGTGTACACATTTTGTATCAATTTTTTTTGGTTCCGTACCAAAATTTTTAATTACGGTACATTTTAATACAGATAAAAAAAGTGTTTACATTTTTGTTTGATAAAGACAACAGATATTACTAATGTTTAGACTTTAAAAGGATAAAAAATTGACATTATAACGATCCTGATCTTACGATCTGAACTGAAAAGCAATATAATAAGGATGTGTGTAATATTTTTAAATATTAATCATTTAAAAATAATGTGTTGTTATAGATCCTAGAACAAAATCTTTAAACTTCGATAACATAAATAATAAATTCTCATAATCCAGGACTTTCTATCACGAAATCAAAACATATGCAATCAGACAGGACGGTGTTCCCCATATTACAAAAAGTTACCCCTATGTTTGATCCTACAATTAGCTTGGGTTATTTAAATAAAATTAATCCAAATACAAAGCTTCATATTTATTTCATCATAAAATATTTCTACTTACTCGTATTAACAGTGACATCAGGATAAGTTAATCCATTTGACAGCACCGGCACAAAACAAATCCATAACACAAAAGTCATCAACAAACATAAATTCACACATGTCCGAGGTAAACAGTCGTACAACTTTTCACACATTATGAGACTTTTTATGAATTAAAACATTCTTTTCACTCACTGCTCTTACGTGATGCTACACTTCATTTTTGCACATAATATCATAGTTATGATTAATTGAAAATAATTCAAAATTTGCCCTCGTTTTTGTACATGTACGACCTAAGCAGCACGATCACAATACAAAACTGAATGGAATCTTAAATCATACCTCTGAAATAACCTTGGTGGATCGAAGCGGAGAGAAGTTGGCTGGGTACGCTTCAAGCTGGTTCTTGAGAATCGAATAATTCGAAAGGATAATACGAGAGGCAGCGACAAGAATATCTAATCGAGGCGAGTAAGGATTTATACTCAAATTCATCATTAAAGTATGTAAAAACAAAATACATAAAAACATGATAAAAACTTATAAATAGTATATATAAAAAAAACATTAGCAATTATAGTTCATACATCAATAAAAATTTGATTTGTAGTTTAAAAAAATCGAATAAAAATTTTTTAATTCGTAAATAATTATAAATAAGCCGAACAAAGTGAAAAAAACAGTTAAACATATGACTGAACATTTAAAATTAGTGGTGCATGGCGTGCCTTTAAGGGAAATTGCTGGAACTTTTTGTAACGAGAATTAAATTTAAAAAAAAAAACGCTCGACCTGTCTTCTTAAAAATTGAATCAGATCTTTTTTCCATCAATACAAATAAAAAGTTTTTGAATCATTCAAATCGGAATTTCTTTCAATCGGAACTCCCCGTTCTCTCAAAAACGTTCTTGGCACTTTTTGCCCCATATCTTCAAAACGGCTGGACCTGCCTTTGCCAAAAACTAATCAGCACGTCTCCTCATTAATACATATCGAATGTTTTTTAAATTATTCAAATTTGTTGAAATCATTAACGAAAATTTGTATCCGCACACACTCATACATACAGACATAAATCAATTTTTTTTTCAGGTATGTTAAAATTATCAAAAACCTTTGAAACATAAAGATATATAGAAATTTCTATTTGAGATTAATAATTTACCCTACGGAAAGTTCATTATACTAACTGTGTCCTGGCCTCTCGTACTATGTAAAGATCTGTTTACTAGAGTTTCTATTTGGCATATGTCACTGTAAATACCCTAGACAATATAATAATACAGTGAAAGGTAAATACAGTGAAAAAGCTGAGAATTAAATTAAAGAGTTCTTCCTCACTGGTAACCATATTAAAAATTAAACTATTTTACAATACATAATACGCATGCAAAATTGTCTTTAACACATAACTTTTTTTTAAAATTCACATAACCTATAAAATAGTGACAGTTACATAATAAAATAATTATTACAAATAAGGGACAGAATGGGAGGTCATGGTCATGGACATGGGCACGGAGACCCCTACGTTGTACCAGATTATAGGATTTACAAAGTTGAAGATGCCCCTGAATTAGTTCAAGTCCAAAAGGCTCTTGCAAGTAAAGGACTTAAAGACCCATGGCTGAGGTAAACCATATATTATCCCATTTCAGTTTTATATTTTGTTCACTTTTTTTGTTAAATAGAAATGAAGTATGGCGATTTAATACAAAAGAATTTGGAACAAGAAGGAGCCGAACGATGGGCTTTTTATTCCGAGGATTTAAATGGGGACTGGCTGCTACAGTAGTAACAGTCGCATTAGAGAAGGCGTGGGAAAAAATGAATCCTAAAGATGATCATCATGGTCATGGACATCATTAATAATTAATTTGATATAATTAGATGATTGTAGATATTATTATACTAATAAAAGAGGAAGATAAGTCACAGGTTCTGTTTATTTTAGTATTTTGATGCAATTGTTTTGAATGTAATATAAAAATTAAATTACTAATATTTAATAATCTAAAAAATCTTTACATACAGAAAAAAATCAAATCAAGTTGATGTTCTTGGTTTTAACTCATCAAAACAAGGTCTTAAAAATATATAATTCTTCTTAGTAGGATTGTAAAATTCGTGACCCTGCAATAAAAATTTTATCATGTAACTTAGGAATAAAATCAATGCATTCTAATTAAATAAGTATTACCTTAGACCAATCATAGCTCACAGAATAAGCAAAAATTTGTCCATTGTGGTTAAAAGCACATTTTGTGATAGGTTGCTCCATAGCTTCGGATGGTTTCAGTTTAGTTCTTGCATCTTTATCCCAAAAACTGAATGAGCCATCGGAACCGACTGTTGCTAAGGTTCCATGAATGGGATGGAATGCTATATCATTGACAGCATATATATCCTAGTAACAAAAAAAAATATTATTGAGTTTTAATTTTATAATGTTTTCAAACTCTGCGTGAATAAGTAGAGCATTGTTGGAATCTTTTGATAATTATAAAATTTACATATGATCTGTATTCTGTAAAGTTGATATAATAATAAATGTAATATATCATTGTTCTTAAAAATATGTGCAGTTTAAAATATTTAACAATCTAATTTAATAGTTTAAAATAATATAAAAAGAGATTTTGCTTGATTATATGTGAATTCTATAAAAGTACAGTTTGGTGTTAAGTACCTGAAATCCATTAGGTGTTCCATTGGATCGGTGGCATTTAAATGTAAAATTGTCTTTTGGATTTACTGGATTGACATATTGAATGGCAACTCGACCTTCTACACTGCCCAGTGCATAACCTAGTAAGATTGAAAAGCACAATTATTGAATGCAACAATGCACAATTATTTAAAATGTTAATTTTCTTCATAATTTTTTTCAGAATATCTAGAATCTTAATAGGCATATAAATTCTATTGATATTTTTTATTATTATTTAGTCTTTTCAAACATTTGTCTTAATAAATAATTGATAGAAGCTGGAAATCAAGTGGAAAATATTGATGTCTATCACAGACCAAATTTCATCTATTTACTAATTTATTATTTGTTATTTTGATGATAAATGTCCATGAATATATTCTTATTACCTGTTGGTACTTTCTTTTTATCTCTAAAAATCGCAACAGTCCGATGTTGGTATTTCAAAGGACTATCAAGCCTTTTATATTCAGTTGGTGTATTTTCTAAAGTATATACAATCAGACCCCGGCTGGCAGTCCCAACAACTGCCATTGGGTAATCTACATCAGCACAGTAACAACGCTCAGGCAAATTGATTGACATCATAGGATTAGGTGAGCGTGTGTCCCAAAACTATGGTATGAATAAATTATTACAAAAATAATGTAATTTGTGTAACTATGAAAACATGTTTATTCTGTACCTTAAGGGTTTTATCCCAAGAACCAGTCATTAGACAAGTGTATGTGGTGCCTTTTATCCAATGGCAGGTTTTTAACAGGAGCATCGTGAGCTGCAACTTGAATCATTTGGTTTGAACCTAAATCCCAACATTTGACTTGTTTATCGCAAGAAGCAATAAAAACCTTTGTCCCATCCTATAATAGTTATTATATGATTAATTTAAGAGTTTATTTTAAAAGTTTTCTATTGTTATTTCTATTATATTGTGGGAGTCGTAATGATTATGATAATATATTTAATTAGAAACTCCCAACATAATAAAAAAATATAAATTTATTAACTGTAAAAATATTTCGATATCAAAAATATACATGACATGTCCCATTGTTTTTTTTTACAAATAAAAACCAGCCTGCTTGATATCGCCACACACTCCCTGCCCAGTGTTTGATCTCACAGTTAAAAAAAAAATACAGGGCAACACGTTATAAAAATGTGGTGGGAAAGCAGATTATAGCAGACCAGTGTTGTAATACTGGTCAATTACAAATTTCCATGTTTCGTCAGCAGATCCACCGTATGTGGTGATTTGACCTGCCATCAACTCCATATTCTGCATAATGTTCTCGATCTAATGGGTATTAGTTATATCAGAATAACTTAATGTTTAGAATGCATAATTTATGGGTACAGTTTCCATTTCTGCAAGCGTTGCATTCGTATCTGATGAGTTCCGATCAGAGAAAGAAGTTGGCTCTTTATCCAAATCAGGATCATTGGTTTCTTTGACATAAGAGTCCAGAATTGTGGAATCCAATAAATTATGTCAAATTTTGTTTTGATTCGTCGTTGTCACCGATAATGGGAGGTAGCATTTAAGACGATTGTTGAGTTAACAGAGAAAGAGAGGTTGAATTGCATTCCAATGAAAAGTTCAGGCTCCAAATTATTTTTTCTGTCAGCAATAGACACTGAGGTCTGGGTATACCAAATGAGTAACCTCGGAAGTCTGATCCAGATAGTAAGTGCGTTAACTATGATGGATTGGACTGGACATACCTTATAGGTCGTCACTGAAGACCAGTGATTATAGTGCTGCGTCAAAATCAATTTTTCTTAAATCTTCGAAAAATAAAACTCCTTTATCTTCATCTCCATCGTCGTGAGTCACCAATGTGGGAGTAGTAATGATTATGATAATATATTTAATTAGAAACTCCCAACAATAAAAAAAAAATATAAATTTATTAACTGTAAAAATATTTCGATATCAAAAATATACATGACATGTCCCATTGTTTTTTTACAAATCAAAACCAGCCTGCTTGATATCGCCACAATATAATAATTTTTTTGTGACATAATGCGAATTAATACACAAAATCTGAATAAACCCAATTCTGAGTTGTTGATTACAAAATTAAATACGTACATCGCTCCAACAAACATCCAGCACAGGACCTCCCACTGTTTGCATCGATTTTGGATTTGTTTTCCCAGTTTGTTCTACTTCCCAGCATCTTACCTAAAATATGTAACTTATTGCGGTGAATCAAATAGATGTGTTATCAAATAATTTTTATACGATTTATAAATATCCGTACTAACATTTATAATAAAAAATTACATATTGCCCATGTTCATATTTTAAATTCAAATACTACAAATAAAAATGAATTAATACTAAATTATGATGTTTTCTTTGCTTTTGTTAGTTTGATTGTTGTTTGATAACTAATCTAATTATTATTCAATTGACCATTTATATTACTGTTTTATTCTATTCTAGGTAGTTATCGAAATAGAAATCTAATTGTTATAGAATTACTATGTACCGAACCAAGCCACAACAATAGGCTATGTTGTATTTTTTATCATGCATTTATGAATTTACATGTTTAATATTATAATTATATATTACATTGCAATCCCAACTTCCAGCGATCAAGAAATTTTGTGGAAGTGTTCCTGGACTAAACGCTAAAGCTGACACAGAATCATCAGGTGGAGAAGTTACTTCAAAATCTTTCATAGGATTTGCAGACGACGGAGTCGGTGTAGCCCCAAAATTAGAACCAAACATTTTGCACTTTTATTTATTTAATTAACAATTGTTTTGTAAAAATAACCTTAAATATTATGCATTGTGTTTTATCGTTAATCCAAATATTTATGAAATGCGTTGACATTAGAATTGATTAAGTGGAATGGTAATAGATGGCTCTGGGTGGACCTTTCAAAAAAATTAATTCTTGATGGCGGAAGTAACCCTTGAAGCGATATCAAGCAGGCTGGTTTTGATTTGTAAAAACAATCGGCATGTCATGTATATTTTTGATATCGAAATATTTTTTATAATTATAAATTTATATTTTTTTTATTGTTGGGAGTTTCTAACTTAATATATGTCATAATCATTACTACTCCCACAGTTTCAAATATTTGTCTATTATCATTTGGGAAAAATCTTTGATATATTAATATTTGTCTATTATTGGGAAAAATCATTTTTGTTATTGATTAAATCTTTGATTATTAAAGTGTGGAGGTCAACAATGAAAAATTTGTATTTTCTAGCATTTTATGAATTTACTTCTAACATATTTAAAAGAAATAACAATTCAAAATAACACATAGACAGGTTACAAATACCAAAAAACGGTCAATAACATTTAAAACAAAATAAAACAGAATATATATGTACATGTATATATTTTAACTGCTGCTTAAAATCACATAGGTTTAATAAATATAAACATATAATCTATATAAATATAAATAAATGTGTCAAATCTGGATCACTGTTTCTATATTATCAACACTTAGCTTTATATTCCATAAACTTCAACATTTTATGATTCTATTCTTAATTTTTTTTTTTTAGAAAAGATAACACTATCTTGCTTATGTAAAATTACTTATTGACATCAGTCAATCACGTCAGGTTTCTTGTAAAATACAATCACACAAATATTTCAAGAACAAAACATTAAAAGTTTGTCATTAGATAAAAATACAACGATAAAATGTAAATCAACCTATTTGTTTCACTTAACTCTCTTATACAATTAACATTAATATTACACTGCTTTATTCATTAACTCTGGGCCCATCTATAGGCATTGTATGGAGCACTTCATCAAGTAGCTGTAAAGCTCTATGTAAGTGTATTTCTATCCAACAAGGGGTATTTTTTATTGATTGCCTGGGATAATCGGGTCCCCAACCTTTTACAAAACTCAGACGTAAAATGCAAAGTCTACGAAGATCATCCACACCAATACCTGCAGCGGCACTTAAACCTTAATTAAGTAGAAAATTTGTTACATAATTAGAAAATATTATATGCTTATACATAAAAAAATTACTTACTAATAGGAGCTATGGCACTAGTACTAGATGGCACAGTAATTCTCCCTGCAACAGCAGCAGCTTGAGCAGCTGCTGCAGCCTGAGCTGTTCGAGCTTGAATTTGCATTTGACTATGGCACTGATGAAGATCAAAAACCTGGATAAAAAAAAGTCAAAAATTCAAACAACTATATAATATAGAGTAGATAAAACATGATAATCTCAAGCATTCTCATTTGATAACTTTGATTTTTTATGAGAATGTAAGTTAAACACAAATTATTTTTCAGTAAGGTTTAAAAATGAAGTAAAAGTTTTGATATCACACTATTTACATATTGTTTTAACCTTTATATATGCACTGGAATAAATTTTATGAACGGCGTCACCAGGAGCTCTTCCAGCTTCTCTATCAAGATAATAGCTTTGTACAAATACTGAATGATCACTGTTGCATAATAACCATACATCGCCTTCACCTTTAAATCTAGCTGAACGCCTTTACCAATATGTAACCTGAAATCAAAAAAATGATTATGATAAGTCTATTGGAAATAAAAATAAATTCATGCCGCCAACTGCAAATAAAACATTATTTTTTGCATAACATAATCAAAAGTTATTTACCTAGCTCTTTCACTCTGCTCTGTTCTGTGCACATTACTCAATGCTCCAAGACAAAATCGATTACCACCAGAGGGGTCTACATATCCATCTACTATAACATTGGGTCTTGAAGATGGCACCTTAAATGTTTCTCCAACTTGAGTGTCCAATTCAAAGTAAGCTACTGAGCACCAATACTCAGGAGCAGGTTGTGATGATAATAATCCAGGAGAAACACTATTAATCTCACCACCAGGATAATTATTTGCAGCATTATGCCCCCCTAAATTAGAAAAATCATCTTTAGTTCTGGAGAACTTAAACCATTAACATAGACTAAGAAACATTATTTATTCAATCAGAAAAAAAATTCAGATAATAAATATTGTTTTTTAAATTACAACTTACAATAGGGTCCAGTAGCTGTATGATGTGATGGTGTATAAGTAACAGTGCTAGAACCTGTCCAGGTTGCATGTGGCCCTGCATAATTCTGTCGTGCACCTTGTGTCTGATTAACCACCATGCCTGCTGCACCTGGTTGGCCAGATTGATTTCCAGTGTTATTTCCAAAACCGTTTGCAATTTGTTGAGGTGATACTGCAGAAGCACATTCAGCAGATGTAGAACCTAATACATAATGATTATGTGTTTGAAAAAAAAGAATTGAAGTTTATTTACATTTTTAGTTTATATTTACCCAAATTAGTTATTTGTGTTTCAGAATTTATCTGTTCATTAGGTGGACCAAAAAACTGTTGTTGACCAGAATTACCAGGTACATTACTGCTTGGCACAACAGCAGGATGTCTAACAACTGATTGAGGAACATTTGCTGGCATTCCATGTGGTATAGATGCTAAGAGGCGGAGAAGCATATTTTTTACAAAATATAATGTTATGTCAATAGAAAATTAAATCATCTTTTGGTTTTGTTCACCTCTTGCTTTGAAATATTTTACTAAATAAAAACTTTGTTATTTCTATTTGCAACAATTGTATAACAAGTAAATAAATATTAATTAAATTATTCAAATAATAGAAGATCGTCACTAAATAATAAAAGCATTAGTGAATAATTTTGTAGCAAATCATAAAATACTTGCAATAGAAATGAACTTTTTAAACTAAAAAATAAACATTTATTTCTGAATTCTTGAGAGTAACAAATATTGCAATAGTAAAATCTGTAAAATTATACAAAATAAATTCAAGTGCTCTGAAATTTAAATCAAACTAAAATAAAATAATATCTTACGATGAGGTAATCTATTAGGCATCCAGTTTGGTCTACCATCAGTTGGTTCTAGTTTTGGTATTGATGGAGGCATTGGACCAACAAAGATGGGTTCACCTAATAATTGAGTAATAGCTAAAGTAATGCAATGTGATATGAAATATTTATTATTATAAAACAAAATAGATAAAATATTGAAAGAAACATAGATCATACATTGAATTTTCAGAGAAAGAATTTTTTAAACTAAAATTTTCACATAACATTGATAATAATGAAACAATAAGCATTTTTTAAGAGAAAGAATAAATAAAACTATTCAACTATTAATAATATCTAATTTATGAAATTTACAAGTGAATACTATATATATCCAAATTTGATTCTGAAGAAGTAAATTAGACTTGCTAAATGTTATGCACAAAGTTCTTTTCAGGAGGCATTACAGGGATAAGTATAACAAAGTAAAAAAATAAAAACAAATTAATAGTATAAAATGATAAATTAAATATTAATGGATAATTCTAAAATGTTTCATATCACCTGTATGCTTCCATAACTATAAAAATTATTAAAATTCCCTTTCTCACCTTGTGTATCCTGTTGGGGCCCAACATTGCCAGGATGTACAGCAGTTGTTGTTACTTCTGGCCCTACAGGATTATGAGGATAATGCGGAATTGTTGGAACAAAATCAGGATCCATTTGTGAAGATGGATTACCTGCAGTGTATTCATCTTTGGGAAGCCGTGCACAATTAGAAGTATGTATTGTCAAGGAAGACAAATCTGAAATTATATTATTTTTATACCAGTCAGATCATTTTTATAGTTATAGTTAATATAATTGATAAAGATTCATACCAATCCCTGGAGAGACCACACGTTCATAATGGTAAGGATTAACACAAACTGAGTCACATTTTAAATCAAAAGCAAATTGGCAATATTTTACATGCTTTAGTTCATTTTTATGAAGATCTGGCCATCTCCATATTCTGGCATAAATAACATGAGGAAATCCCTTTCTTCCAGCCACTTGCAATCTTCCATCTAAGGTTCTCTGAATTGTCACACATTTGCTAGGATGTGCACCATTTGTAGTAATTGCGGTGATAAGAGAATCTAATTCATCTCGTTTTTCCTTTAACTTTTTTACAAGGGATTCTATAGCTCGCTTTGCAAAATTCTCATTTTCACCTCCTTGTCGATGACACATCAAAGAATGAACAATACTTAGACAAGCATCTGCTGATGTAGGTGCACTTGTTGGCATAGTCGCCATTTCGACCACTGTAATTAATAAATATAAATAAAAAATATGAGCTAATCTACATATCTATGGTCATTTCCTTGATTTCACCCATCTTAATGGACATTCTTAGTAAGAAAGAATTTCAAATTATAGCAAACAAAAGACCCTCTCTCATTAGTTTGTGAAAATATCAAATTTGTACACTTGCTCATTAATTAATATATCATTTGGTGATCATTTAACATCTGCTTGTGCAAAATTATAAATATTATTTTCCAATTTGGATGTTTAATCATGCATATATGAAATTCTTACATATTTAAATAACATTGTACACAAACAATAATTTTCAGATGAATACACTCTTTAAATGTGATATTAAAAATACTTATTATAAACTGTTAATGTTTTAAACTGATTCAAGCAATAATTAGAATTAATCATTCTCTATCTCTGTCTTTCCTTCTTTCATAAAATGTCAATCAATACAAAATTACACAAGTTAGAGTGATAAATACTAAAAATGTTGATACTTTAAGATTATCTCACCTTCTTGAGTACCCACACAAGGTAAATATAAGTGCCCCAGTGTTAACAAACCAACCATTCTAAATCCATAAGTAAATCCGAGTTTTCCACTCGATGTACGTAAAGTACATAATAAGCAAGAAATTCATATCAACACAATAATATTTGTTTGAATAATCAACATGAATTTTCTATCACGCTTGATGTAATTCAAATTGACTTGGGTCCACTATTTTGACGATGGAGAATTTACATATATATTTATATAAATATAATGACTTATGAGAAAGCATCAGGCGCGCTCAAACTTAATTTATAATCCATTCACTCTGAATTAACCGATATCTTCAACATTTCTTATCAAAAAAGTTTGCAAAAGACTAATGTACCAAGAATGATAAAACAAATGAAGTAAAGAAGTATAAATAAATGTTCTATGCAATGTTTTTATCTATGGAAATGCTTCAACTCCACAACAATGTTCAACTTAAGTAGTGCTGCCATCGATGACTTTAATATTGCCACATTACATTCGTTGTTAAAGCGTTGTAAAGGATTTTCACACAGACGTTGATGACCGCTCAATAGCCATAGATAGTTGAATAGACAAATTCGCTAGACATACGACTTTTATCTACGACGTAAAAATTAAACGACGTAAATTATCTATGGATAAAAGGATAGAAAAAGGTTGAGAGCATGTTGACAGTTCGTTGTAACTCTACGGCTAACCATGAAATTTGACGTTTCATAACAATGCGATATATGAAATTATTAAATGTTGATATATTATAACATATTAAAATGATGAAATTTAATAAAGAATTTTTATCCTTTGCCAGTAAATTCAGTGTACTACCTTTTAATATAGGTTTTTCGAGGTTGTTCTACTCAACCACAAATAGTGTGATTAATTATGAAGATACTGTTGATGTTATAGATTATGGACAATTCGAAATTAATAAAATGCCACATAAAAAACGTACTATATCAAAACTTCAAGAACTTTTTAATTGTTCACATGATCATGCCACTGATATTGTAAAACACCACCCAATTTTAGTCAAAAGATCTATCGAGAATATAAATAAAGCAGTCAGCTTTCTGGAAGAAAAATCTGTTAAACAAAATATTTTATATGATAATCCATGGATCTTGGGAATAAAGAATGGTAAATACTAGACTCCACATCATATTAAGTTCATTTTAAAGCTTTATAATGAAAATATAAAATTTTATTTTTGTTATTTATTAAAAGTTGTTTTTTTTCTAGATGAACTAAAAGAAAAAATAGAACTTATAGAAATGATAGAATATAAAAAAATTGATCATTTCGTACCATTTCTTCAATTAGAAACAAAAGATCTACAACATGTAGTTAAAATAATGCAATGTGAAGTTTCAACTGTGCCTGGAAAAAATCGACTTTATTATTTCAAAAATATGACTAAGGTTTATATACTTAAAATTATTATTGCAGTTACAAATTGCCATATTGACCTATATTTTAACCATTTTAGGTAGAAACTATGGTAATTTCTCAGCACTTCGCACAAAGGTGGTTTATATATGAAGTAAATTATCTTTATTTTAAGAACATCTTGACTTTTTTGTTAGGTAATTTTATTTATTTTTTAACTTTGAGTATTAGGTATTTATTAGTATATTATTTAAGTATTAAATAAGCATCAATCACATCATGTGGTTAAACCAAGATATAATTTAATGAAAATTAAAATTGCAGATAGTGGTGTTACACCATATAATATTTTGCGAGATCTGTGGGTTTTCAAATATCATCCTGCTAAAATTAGAGAAAGAATAACGATAGCTAAAAGAGCAAATAGTAAAAAAATAATGCCCTGGATGGTTAGATGCAAAGAGGGAGTATTTCAGAGGTATAATGATTTTTTGTTTTGTAGAAAAAAATGAAATAAAATTTATGTATTCCTGATTAATTTTAAAGTCTTTGTTGAAATTTTAAGATTTCTCAGTAGAACCAAAGAAACTAATGATGTATTAGCAAATCGTTCACTTGAAGATTATTTAGGTGAAAAACTTAAGTGTGATATGGATATGGTGAAATATATCATTAACAATAATCCAACCATAAAGAAAATCCATATAACTAAGGTACATAATTCCTCAGCATAATATTGAAGTAATATTTTAAATCTCGAATATAATTTTAATTACAGGTACAAGACACATTGGATTATTTATTAGGACAAGGGTTCTCTGCATATCATATCGCACAAGCCCCAAAAATTTTAAGCCATAGTTTACAAACAACGAAAGAAAGATTGGAAGAAATTAAGGCTTTAGGTCTAAGTACCAACTCACTTGTTATACTTTGTAAAAGTAAAAAAGAATATGCGAAACATTTAAAGGCTTTAGCAAAATGTAGTATAAGAGAATCATTGAGAAACAAGTGAATAAAAATAAATAATGAAATTATACATACTTCTATTTGTTCTACAATTTTTATACATCCTCTATATTTCTCTTTGATTTAACAAACATTTCAAATGTATTTAAGTGTATAAACATGGTAGCTGCAGATAATCTAGCTTGTAGCTGCAGTTGTTCAACATCATGCGCCCATTCTACCCGACCCCAATGCCCCAACTGTAAAATTATAATTATTTAAAATATAGTTTCTTATATACTTATATTTTAAAATAGTTTCAAAAGTTTATCAAATCTAAATAAATATAATATCTCAAGTAATGCTATTAAATTACATTATAATATGGAAATAAATATGCTGATTGTTTAAAGAAACGAAAAAAAAATGAAAATATAGACTGTAAAATTTATGTGAATTCTACAAAACCGTTTAACAAATTATTTATTTCAAATCATTAGATAATTACCTGAAATTCTTCTTCAAGTCTAGATAAATATGATGCTTTTTCCGTACTAATGAATTTATCGGCACAAGCTAATGCTAGAATGACTGATTTAACTGTATCAACTGCAAAAACTAATCCTAAAAATAAAATTATTCAAATGAATAGATTTAGAATACATCAGTATGTTGTTTTCTAAAAATACTTGCCCTGCATAGATGCAATATTATGGGAATATAAATAATTTGAAAGAGCCATTTTTGACTCTTCACTAATTTCAGGAGGGGTGATGTCTCTGGATTTTTTAACATTGACTTTGTATCTATCGCAAAACCATTCAATTATTGGATCCCATTCTTTACATTGGAGAGCATATAGTGGATCATCTGACTGAAATAATAAAAAATGTTTTTTTGATGGTAATATATTTGAATTGTATAGAGGGAGTCATGAAAACATGTAAGGGGAACCATTAAAAACTAGTTGGTTTGGTATTTAGCCTTGAGGCAAGTTACATGAACTTCCCGATATGTGTAAATAATCGACTTAATCAAAAAAATGTGTAAATAATATTCTTCATTAATCCTACTTAAAAAAAACGATAATAATTTTAGCAAAGTTTGACGAATTTTTAAGATTAAACTACTTGTTGTAAGGCCGCAATATTACAGTAAGTTCTATAAGACCATGATGTATATCGCCAAAAAAATTTCCATGAAAATCGGCTTAGTTTTTTTTTCAACAGTTAATTACAAGAAAACGGCTCGGTAGATTTTCACCTAAAATTAATCAGCATCATTCCCAAATGATATCTTTCAAACAATTTTTGATTTTTCAAAATCGGTTCGGTAGGATGAGCTTAAATGTGGACGAAAATTTAACACATTTTTTCAACAGTTAATTACAAGAAAACGGCTCGGTAGATTTTCACCTAAAATTAATCAGCATCATTCCCAAATGATATCTTTCGAACAGTTTTTGATTTTTCAAAATCGGTTCGGTAGGATGAGCTTAAATGTGGACGAAAATTTAACACTTTTTTTCAACAGTTAATTACAAGAAAACGGCTCGGTAGATTTTCACCTAAAATTAATCAGCATCATTTCCAAATGATATCTTTCGAACAGTTTTTGATTTTTCAAAATCGGTTCGGTAGGATGAGCTTAAATGTGGACGAAAATTTAACACTTTTTTTCAACAGTTAATTACAAGAAAACGGCTCGGTAGATTTTCACCTAAAATTAATCAGCATCATTTCCAAATGATATCTTTCGAACAGTTTTTGATTTTTCAAAATCGGTTCGGTAGGATGAGCTTAAATGTGGACGAAAATTTAACACTTTTTTTCAACATTTAATTACAAGAAAACGGCTCGGTAGATTTTCACCTAAAATTAATCAGCATCATTCCCAAATGATATCTTTCGAACAGTTTTTGATTTTTCAAAATCGGTTCGGTAGGATGAGCTTAAATGTGGACGAAAATTTAACACTTTTTTTCAACAGTTAATTACAAGAAAACGGCTCGGTAGATTTTCACCTAAAATTAATCAGCATCATTTCCAAATGATATCTTTCGAACAGTTTTTGATTTTTCAAAATCGGTTCGGTAGGATGAGCTTAAATGTGGACGAAAATTTAACACTTTTTTTCAACAGTTAATTACAAGAAAACGGCTCGGTAGATTTTCACCTAAAATTAATCAGCATCATTCCCAAATGATATCTTTCGAACAGTTTTTGATTTTTCAAAATCGGTTCGGTAGGATGAGCTTAAATGTGGACGAAAATTTAACACTTTTTTTCAACAGTTAATTACAAGAAAACGGCTCGGTAGATTTTCACCCAAAATTAATCAGCATCATTTCCAAATGATATCTTTCGAACAGTTTTTGATTTTTCAAAATCGGTTCGGTAGGATGAGCTTAAATGTGGACGAAAATTTAACACTTTTTTTCAACATTTAATTACAAGAAAACGGCTCGGTAGATTTTCACCTAAAATTAATCAGCATCATTCCCAAATGATATCTTTCGAACAGTTTTTAATTTTTCAAAATCGGTTCGGTAGGATGAGCTTAAATGTCGACGAAAATTTAACACTTTTTTTCAACAGTTAATTACAAGAAAACGGCTCGGTAGATTTTCACCAAAAATTAATCAGTACCATTCCCAACTAATATCTTTCGAACAGTTTTTGATTTTTTAAAATCGTTCGGTAGGATGAGCTTAAATGTGGACGAAAAGTTTTTTTCAAATTACAAAGAAACGGCTTGACAGATCGTTGCACAAAACTGACAAACGATAGTCCTCACCGAAATACATCAAATGGTTTTTAAATTTCTAAAATCGGTTCAGGCGTTTTTGAGAAAACGTCGATCAAAAGTCTAATTTTGACAAATGCCAAAAAGACCATACTGATTTTTGCAAACTTTGACGAATTTCCACAGCTGAACCAGTGGTCGTAGGGCCGTAATATTTTAGTATGATCTAGAAGACTATGGTATCTATCGTCAAAAAAATAATCATAAAAATCGTCGAAATTTTTTTTTTTTAAACTTTATTACAAGAAAACGGCCCGGCCGATCTCTACCAAAAACTAATCAGCACGATTCCCAACCAATATCTTTCGAACGGTTTTTGAATTTTCAAAATCGATTCAGAATTGCGGGCTAAAACGTAGACGAAAAATTTTTCACTTTTCTGCCATTTATAAAGAAACGGCTTGGCCGATCGTCGCACAAACCTGACAAACAATAGTTCTCGTCGAGATACATCGAATGGCTTTTAAATTTTTGAAATCGACCCAGCCGTTTTCGAGAAAACGTCGATTTACGGCAAAAAATCTGTTCACATACACACACACACACACACACACACACACACACACATACTTTTTTCAAATTTGGTCTCATTCGATTCAGAATGGCTTGAAACGTCGAGAAAACATAAAATTAGCGATTCGGATTTTTTGATGAAAACATAAACTTCTCCTTCGGGAAGTTAAAAATTTCAGTAATTACCAAAGTTTTTTAAATCAAATATAATTTAGAAATTATATTTATTATGACCAATAAATTTTCACATCATTTTTGAGCGCCTTTGACCAATGTTCTATTATTCTATTGGTTTAAGGAAAACGCAATGCGCTAATAAAATATACAAATGATTTTGTACATTACTTACCGCCGAATGGAAAAGCAAAGCATCTGTTGTTAAATAATTAACAATATAATTTACCATGTCAGGTTTTGTTAAATTGCTGGGATTATCTATCAATGTAGAGCATAATGCGTTCTGAAAATCAATATATGTATATGAATTTAAAAAATAATAATTAAAATTATAGCTCAAATTAATTATTTACCAAATACATGGTTCCCTGTTGTATATTCTTTTTCTGTGCTTCCCATTCTGTCGCTACAGCTAAAGCAAGAGGTTGAACTTGAACTCTAAATGGTTTTCCTGAAGGCGATTTTAATTTTCGTTGATCTAATGTCACTTCATATTTTCCATCACTATATAATATATTTGTCTTTTTGTAAAACCTTTTTCTTGTTGCTAAAATATATAAAAACATACATAAATGATGCATATATACCCTGTATAATACATATACAGTAGAGCCCCGTTAATGTAGAAGCAATATGATTTTCTGTACAATACGCAGTTAAAATTATATTGCTTCTATCTCGCATAATACGCTTTTGAGCCTTTTATCCGGTCTCTGGAAAATCGTTCTAGTAGGGTTTTTTTATCTTTTATACAGATACAGAACTTAAAATGAAGAAAACAAAATCTTTCATTAATTTAATTACCGTAATAATAACTAATTATGAAACGTTATACATGTTTCATAAGTAATCAAAATTTACAATTCAAAAGGTAGTGTTATATAAAAATAATAAATACATGGTGGAAATGAATTAACTAAGCGGATCATTATAATTTATTTACCATAACATCTAATTTGCAATGTCGCATTATAATTAACTTTGAAAAGTTTATTGATCATATTTAGCGACATATCTATTGAAATATAAACATATACTGAATTATTAAATGTCTCGTATAATGTGGTTACAATAATAACCTAACCTCAAAGTTTTTCAACTGACGTTTGTGACGTATGTCTTGGCGGATTTTTATGATTTTGTTTATATCGAGTTTGTGATTGTACTAAACTTTACAATTTTCATGAAAATATTATATATTATAATATACGTTCACTAATAATTAAAAATCTGAGTTCTGCGATTCAAAATGTAAATTGATTATATTTATATTATAAATCACAGCTGGACACATCGAGAACTGTCAAATCAGATAAAGTTTTTTTGTACCAGATAAATAACATTGGATTGTTATTATAAAACGTCATTATTGTGTTATCTGTGATTACATTATGAAAAATGGATGAATTAAACTCAGAAAACTATCTCTATTCAACGAGCAAACTATGTTTAGCCCTAGATTGTGAAATGGTAGGAGTTGACACTGGAGATGTTCATATGTTAGCTAGAGTCTCCATTGTCGATCGAGATGGTTCTTGTATTTATGATAAATATGTGAAACCCCAGAAAGAAGTTGTAGACTATAGAACACCAATTAGTGGCATAAGACCAGAACATTTATCTACCGGTGAAGCCTACCACAAAGTGGAACAAGATGTAAAAAATATATTAAACGGTTGCATTCTCGTAGGCCACGCTTTGCATCATGATTTGCAAGTTTTGAATTTGAAACATCCCAAACACATGATAAGAGACACTTCCTTATATAAACCGTTTAGGAAAATATCTGGTGGTAAAACACCTTCATTGAAATTATTGGCGAAAGAAGTTTTAAATAAGTCGATACAAATTGGAGAACATTCATCAATTGAAGATGCTTTTACAGCAATGCAGATTTATTTACGATATCAAGAAAAGTGGGAGAAAAGTTGTAGGAGTAGAAGATATAGATAAAATATTTGTAAAATTATATATGACATGTGAAAATAATTTTATTTAGATTAAAAGTAAGCATTAGGTAGTTTCATCATTGAAGCTATGTTTTGTAAATTAAAAAATTGTATTATAATATCTTGCATATATGTTTAAATTACACTCAACCATACATGCCTTAGCAGAAGATGAATTTAGAAATAATCGAAAATATAAGAAATGCAGTATAATAAAAATAATCAAAAATCGTCAAATTTTTTAATTTGTTATTTTTGTTGACTAAATCAGCCCTCTATTAAGTCTTTTAAAATATTTATACTTGATTCTTTTAGTATATGCATCTGTGTTGAGTAATTTTGTATAAATACTTTATATATACTTTAAGTTTTTTTATATTATATTCGGAAAAATATAATACCAAATATATATTATATAATGTATATATATATATATATATATATATATATATAATAAAATATATAGTTGATACATTACATTGTTTACACAGATTATATATTTTTTTACCTAGTTGTTCACATTCTGGTCACATCCAAACTACAATTTCATATAATGAACCACACACAAAATATGATATTACTAAATCTCATTTTTCAAATTACTTAAACTGATAGATCATTCTTTCAAGTTGAAACTAAAAATGGCAATGCGAATTATTTCAATCTGCACTCCTTTAAAATAAAGTTAATTCTTGACTAGATCAGAATATAAAAGTTTGTTCTAATACATTGATGATATATACTACATCTAGTGCCAAATTAAGTAATGCACATCATGTGCTGAAGTTGTATCATTTTGTATGACTTCATTTTAATAAACACAAAATGAGACTAAAATTCAAAATCACATTTCGTAAAATTTAATTTTTGATATGCGCTTGTAGACCTTATACTTGTATAAGGTCTATGTATGCATCTTAAAATCAGCAAAAACAGTGGTGAAAACTGCAATTAGAAATAAGAAAAGTAATAAGAATAAAACAATGTTAACACAATCATTTAATTTCTTGTCTTTTAGTTAAAATTTAAGTTGTATACTTACATAGTTACACCTAAGATATTTCATTTTATACAGGCACAAAAATTATGCATTATAAAAATAATTTCCCTTTCTCAACGAAACATACATAGCCTTTACTAAAATATCATATTCTTAACTAAAAAACATTCAACATAAAGCATTCAAAACAATTCACATAACAATTTCGTTAATAAAAGAAACTCACTGAACAATATCATTAAAAGATTTAAGGTAAGCCTCATGTAACTTATTCACAAAATCAGAGTCTGTTTTTAAAAGATATGATACTGCCTGCAAAAGCTGATTTCTAGTCAAAGGTTCAGGTCGTAAAGAAACATCTGCTTGCTCTAAAGTATTGGAATAATTATTATCCTGACTGGTTTTTGAAGTAAACATTGTAGGTGGCATAAGAGCTGGTGTTTGGTTCGTTGTGTTATTTAATGGTACTGATAATGGCCGGGATTCTTCACCAACTGCATTCTTCATTGAAATTTGATTCGGAGATGTAATTCGTATGAAATTCAAATTGTTCTCATTCAGTGAATGCTGTTTATCAATATCGGCAACCTTGTTTGTTTTTCTCCGACCTGCTTCGACTGTATTTAAACCAGTATTGTTCTGTGGTGTAACACACCTTTGTTGTTTTTCAATATGCTCCACACTGTGTGCTGGGTTTGACATAAGCCTTTGCAATATATTCGGATCAGCATTTAAAGGCTCCGCTTTTCGTGGAGCAAATAAAGGTAAAGTATTTTGACTGGATGTGGTAGCCTTTGCAAAGAAGTCCATCACACTCTGTGATGTTAAATCTGTTTTGGGTGCTCCAGAAATTTCTTGAGTGGTAGGTGGTTGTTTCTTCTGATTGTGATAATCCTCTTGAGCTCGGCTTAACATAGTAAATATATCAGAATTCTCACCCATCGCCCCACCATTGGAGATCATGTTTTCTGTAGGAACAATGGATTGCTTTTGCAAATCCTCAATTAATCTAGACAAAAGTTGAGCGACTTTTACACAATCTTCTCTGTCATAAAACCAGAAGCCGCGAATACAATTATTAGAATTCCTATAGAGTAAGAACGGTTCCTGTAATTGTAAATCCAATCCTTTGACGACCGGCTCGACTAAATTACTTGTATTGAGTCGGTTGATTATCAATATGCCGTGATAGGGCTCACCGTTTCTCGAATAAATAAACAACGCCCCTTCGATATTAGTTCTTTCCCATTCATTCTCTTCGGAATTAAATGAATAGAATGCTACATGGCGAGCAGTTTCTATAATATCTTTTGCGTACGGGTCCACTCTTTTTAAAGCTGTCACATTCATACGCAACTCCGTTACGTCCGCCATGTTTTAACAATAAAATATATAGTAAATATTAATTTTTTTTTATATTTGTGAATATGCTTTAAAATCAAAATTAAAAAGATAAATATTATTTTAAATTATGTTCAGATTCTCTGGATTTAAAACTAGCCGCACTGTTTGCCTACAACTGCTTTGGCTTCTATGAGCGAAATACCTTATGTCAATCAATGGCTTTTCATATGAAAATTACGGCTAAATATGAAATTATATAACATTAGGGTATGTGTATGTATACACATATATAGTTATATATATATTTTAATAATTAGATATCGAGAACGTTAAGTTAAATAGAGTTTAATTAGATTTATTGAAATATTTTATGTTATTTTTTCAAAAAAGTTATGTGTAATACCGCTAGTGCATTACAAGAATCATTTGATTCAAGATGTATCTCGGTGGCATTTGATTAATCAAGAATAAAAATTATGTAAAAGCATACAATAAAATGTATGGCGAAAAGAATGAAAATGCGTTTGGTTTGGACAAAAAACAATTATTCTAGCGCCTTCTATCGCTTTCATAACGGAAACTTTGTCTAATTCGGGTCACAGACAAAAGATGGCAGGGCATATAACAATTTGTGAAAACAGTACGTTTTTTTCAAAACTTTGTGCATGATGTCACATATACAGTGTCGAAACGTACAAAATAAATAGTTCAATTATTTATTGCTATTTATTTCAACAACAATTTGGATGCAGATAAACATTCAAGAATAATATATTAACTATTTACCGTTTACAAATGTGGTTTCCAATCTGTGGGTCGCGCTTCCTCATGGAGGGCCCAAAGGCTATTGTTACAGCGTAGCTTTCGAAGTACTATTTTCGAAAATTAATTAAAAAATGTTAAAACTAAATAAAAAAATGAATGAACAGATATAATTATTTTTTATATTATTAGGTATTATGATTTATTAATTTGTAGCTTAATAAAAAATAATAATATCGGAATTATGGAATTAGATAAAAAAAATTAAGAGGGGCAAAACCACTTTTTCAAAAAAAAAAAAAAAAACTGGAGAAGCGTTACAAAAAGGTTGAAAACCACTAATTTACGAGATAAGCACATTTATTACAAATGTGCTTGAAATTTCAAATAAAATCTTTATAATTTTCTCATAAACATTTTATTATTTAACATGATAATGAGTATTTATTACTACAAATATCATAATTTAAAATTTAAGTTTATTAATATTATTTTACTTAAGCAAATGCGATAAAATTTGTAAATACATTAATATAATATTTGTATATTTATATTATAAATACGCAAACTCGTACCTCTTTATTTATTACTGTATTTTATGAAGTTTATTATCTAGTTGTAAGTGGCATTTTGCCTTAACAGAAGTAGTAAAAGCTTCTCGATATCTAATATCTAAAAATCGATTTAGTAAAAATTGAGATTTAGCAACATTTGAGTTAATAAGTTGATGTTATAATTTTGAAATTTTGACCCGGTCCAATCAACTATTGATAAATTTTTGAAACTAATTTCCGAGATTTTTTTTATCAATTTGGAAGCATTTGAGCCCCTGGGAGCATGGAAATTCTAAAATATCCATATTAAGGACCACCCTGATGTACCATATATATATATATACCCCTTTTCCAATTTTGGTGTCAAACGATTCAGAATTAGTTCATTCCGTCAAAAAACTCAAAATGAGCAATACGGTCTTTCTGAATATGAATATACCATAAACTTCTCATTCGGGAAGATTCTTTTGTCTGATGCGATGTCTTCAAAGATTTCATACATCTTTGAGCCAGTAAGATTAATTTTAAGCGAAATTATTAAAATAAATCATATTTTTCAAATCTTTCATTGCCTCCCACATCGCAATGCCCAAGCATGGCTGGTATGATTGTACAAGCATCCTGATTAAAACACCTAATAAATTTCTAGGATATTCGTTTTCGTGCTTTATCTAGTCCACCCTTTGTCAATTGATTAACATTAATAACAGACAATGTAGGTTTTGCATTGATATTTATAATTTGTTTTGCAGATTTGCATTCTTGAGTTGCATTAATCAAATCTGAAAATCGTTTATGCAAATATCATATTACAATCTAAAATATAATGTTAATTTTTTTACCTGTCTTCGTAGATGAATGAAGACCACCTAACATATTATTATTTGTCCCTGCACAAGTGCTTGTTCTTTTGAAACTTTTGATTAATCTTTTATCAGAGGACCAAGCTTGAGATTGCATTCTGAGTAATGCAAATTTAGTAGAATTCAAACGATTCGTTTTATATAATATTATAAAATTAATTTACCTGGTAGGTGACAAAGGTTCATCTGAAGATTGACTTGTATTAATCAACATATCCAGAAGATTATGCTTGTGCAATGGTGCCTGACTACGTGGTGCTTTTGGTGATAACATTTCGCTTTTCTCTCGTCGACTCGAAATTTTCCTTCGCGATCTGAAATTCGATTAGACACATTAGTTAGATATTGGTAATTCAGTTCATAACTTTCTGATAAAAATAAATTTCAAAATACCTCGATTTTCTTTGGTTCTTTGCATTTGCTACATCCAGTATGGTATCTTTAAGACTTGGCATCAACCCTAAAGAAGTATAATAATCATATAGTGTTTTTACTAATCGTTCGCCAAGTCTGAGATCTGATTGAAAATCCTTTTTATAAGTAAAATATATTGAATTATTTCAAAGACAAAATAAACTATTGGTGTATGGCATCTTGCCTTAAGGCAAATTGCTGGAACTTTCCGTACCAAAATTTAATATTCAAGGAGAAAAATGAGTAATGAATAAATATTGATCAATGTATAACAATTGTTTTAAACATTTTCAAATAGATAATTATAATCACTATATATTTTATAGTCCAGAAATTGATTTATTATTAACTGCTATAATTTATTGGCTTTCAATATGTTTAATATAAGTTAAAATGCCAGTATTTTAAAAAGAGGATACAATCTTCTTCAGTATATGGTATGGGTTTCTTAAACCCCTCAGGTTTAAATCCATACATAGATACATGAACTGTGTAAATGTTTACATGATCTGGTAAAATTGAACACAAAAACCTGGAATAAAATATATTGCAAAAAAACATACTATAAAATTATCTCAATTATACATTGGTCACATATATTACCTTCTGGCAGTACCTTGTTTGTGAGAGTCACCTGCGTTATACATTGTATTTTCAGCTGCATAATCCGCCATTTTTCTTCGGCCACCTAAATTAAAACGATGATATTAAAACCCTATCACATAAAACGATGATATTAAAACCCAATCACATACATAATTGCAAAAATAATTATTTTATCTAACAAACCTATGCCTGAATAACATTTAGCAAAAACAAGATGCCTCTCAAATCTGTATACGTCCTCGTAGGCATTTCCATAAACAAACGTTCCTAATCTTCCAGGATGTGCATGTATATCTAAAACAAAATCCAGTTTTGTATTCTGCAATTAATAAAAACTGTACAATATATTGAATTATATTGAAAAAATATATAACATAAATTGCTATTACCTCATTTTCAATGTTTTTCAGCATCTCAGTCACTGCATATGTACTAGGATGTGTAAAACGACCAGCTGTGTGCCAAGTTCGATTTAAATCCAAGCCTTAGAAAATAAAATGTATAAAGGTAAAATAAATATTAAATGAAAAATTGTAAATTTGTAATGAATTTTTCATGATAAATATGCGCTCACCTATTAAATTAGTTCTTTGATTGCCTAAAAACACACCATCAGGATTCATCATTGGTATTATGATAAATTTTATATTATCTCTCATACAGCGCGCTATTGGATGAGTAGAAATTAAAAACTCCAACATTCCTAAAAATAAATAAGTAGAATACATAGAATAATAAATTTGACTTTACTAAAAGATTTATTAATGTATCAAAGTATTTGTAAATATGTGAATTAATAAATTTACCTTGAACAACAAAAGACGAAGGTGATTCTCCTGCATGGGTTCTTGCTAATACCACAACTACACGTTGTTTTTGATCACTACTTAGAGCTTTGTTTTCTCCTATTTCAATCATATCTACATCACGATTTTGCTATTTGAAATAGCCAATAATATAATTATCACACAAGATTATGAATCTATCTATCTAAATAAAATCTAACGTACCACACTTTTAGCAATACAAGTTCTTTTCATAATATCGGGTGGTGCCTTCAACTCTAGTGATCCTAAACAAGCTCGCAACCTAAAATTAGAAAAGATTTAAATAATAAAGTGCCAGTTTGTATTTGATGAAATAATCGAATTGAAATAAATTTACTAGGTCTATGTGGATTACTCGGACACAAAATTCACTTGTTTGTAGTACAATGCAATATTTTTTAATAGAAATTTTAATAACTATACCTAGAATAACTATATGGAGGTCCAGCAGCAAACTGAAACATTTCATCTTCCTTATCAAAAGCAAATGCCAGTGAGACAGCAGTTTTTCCTGAGTAGAACACACTGCCAGGTGGAATGCGTTGCCTAAAAATATATTAAGGTAATTTTTTTTTTTATTTCAATTTCTCACATTTATACAAATTATAATTAGCTTGGTATTTTTTGTACACCTTAATTTACATTAAAAATATATTTACCATTTTGGTCTAGATGTAGATTTAACCAAAGGTGTCATGCCATCTCGAAACAAATTTTTTCTATTACTGATATTCACTATGTTAAAAATAACACGCTGAAATTTAAGACATAAAATTAAAATTAAAAAATCCTTAATTCATTAAGTGAAAAATAATATTTCAACCTACTTGGTCTTGTCTAACATTATCCACTGTAAAATTAAACCAGAACCGAAACCTTGGGCTGCAAGTGTCTGGACGTACGTACAAATCATATTCAAATTCTGCCACCAGATCAACTCTACCCAGATTTCCTTGCAAATTAACAAAAAACATTTATATTTAAATTGATCTAAAAGAAATATATTGAAGTAATTATTTACCCGTTTCAAAAGCTGCATCAAAACAAAGATGACCTCTTTTAGCTTTTCCACTGTGACCCACAGGCCTAATAACTGCCCTTGAAACATTTCCAAGGCCTCCTTCACCATCACTATCCTCACTGTCTAATAGTAAAATACTAATTAATAATTGACTGAAATAAATATTTAATATTTGAATAAATATGCATGATTTGAACAGGACTATGAACCTTTGCAGCATCGACATCTCCAAATTTATACTAGCCAAAAAAGGTCTGTATAGAAAATTTATTTCAACTTTTGAAAGTAATTGCCATAATATAAATATTAAACATTAAATTTAATACATTTATTGTATTTTTTGGAGTTAAATATATGTACTCTAAATTCTAATCCATCGATGTTCTCCGTAAAGATACATCATATTTTGATGCAAATTAAATTATATTATAATTTTGAATATTTATTATAAAGCACCTTCTTCATTTCTTTGATACATGCTGGTATGTTGCAAAGGATCCCTTGCTTTTAAAGTAGTTTTAGGTTCCATTTTAATAGTGTCAACTTCCGAATCACTACTTTTATTCTCCATAATTAATTATTGGTAAATTCCTTTTTTAATTTATAGTAACAAAATTGCCTAATCGTTTATAATGCTTTAATTGTATGATTAATAACAAATAGATTCTTTCAAGAGTATGCAAAAATATTTAGAATAAAAAAAATATAAATTTTGCTTCATCTATATAACCACGTGGCTGTTCAATTCACGTGCAACTGAATATATTTCTGAATCTAACGAATTATTTCACACTATAGAACTTCATGAAGCCACGTTCATACTTACATACCATAAATAAAATAAAACAAATAAACTAGTGGAGCGCATGGTATCGTGCCTTAAGGCAAATTGCTGGAACTTCCCGTACCGTAATTAAACATTCGAAGAATAAAAATAATCAGTCAACAAAAATGTCTATGAGTAAATATTATAACAACTAGACTTTTCATTATTTGTTGTTTGTGAACAGTATGTGAAAACTTATTAGATTAGACGACGTTGTTTATATATGTTTGAATGAAATAAATATAAACAAAGTCTAATTAAGCGGACTTATTGTTAGAATGAACATGTTTTTTTCAAATGCATCAATTTTTCGTTTGCGAAATATATGCACTGAGTTAACAATTTTAAATAGTTCATGTAGTATCAACTATATAAACATAAAAAGTATTTAAAAAAATTGCAGTGACGCGTCAACCAACTCAGCTATAACGACATGCTCACGCACAACGCTATGAGCGGATGTCTAGGATCTAATCGGAATTTCTGCACTTTTTGCTCTGTACCTCCGAAATGGCTGGACCTGCCTATACCAAAAACTAATCAGCACGTCTTCACATCAATACGAATCGAATGTTTTTTGAATCATTCAAATTGGCCGATTTGCTCTCTCACAATTTGCTATTTTTGCACTTTTTGCTCCGTATCTTCGGAACAGCTAGACCTGCCTTTGCCGAAAACTAATCAGCACGTCTCCTTATCAATACAAATCGAATGTTTTTTAACTTGTTCAAATGGTTGATCCGTGTTCCCGAAATCGTCGACGAAAATTTGTATCCGCACACACACACGCACACACATACACACACACATACATCCATTTTTTCTAAGGTATATATAAAAATTTTCATTTTCGATTATTTTGAGATTGCTATAACTTACAGCCTACGGTTAAAAATGGTCAACTTGTGATTGCTGTTGAAAAAATAAGGAAAAAAATTTAAAAGGTGAAGAAGGCATAAATTACCAGGCGGAACATCGAACAATCGATTTTATTATATAGTTTTGAAATAAGTAAAGATGTTTGAATTTCACAAAAAAGCGAAAGAAATGCTCAGAACTGTTTAATGTGAAAATATACAGTTTTTTATATACTTAGTTCTTAGTTATAACTTTTATTACCTGACATATCTAATAGGAGCTTTGTAGCATTATATATGAATCCAATCTGAAAAATTTAAAAATTAATTATTTGAAAGCAAATTACAATTGTAATTGTAAAAATATTAATATTTTTGTAGATCCTTCAAAATTCTTAATCGCTATTGATATTTGACAAAAGCATTGTCGTAACTTTAGACTGAATTAATTAAATAATTTAATTGAAATTAGACAAAAAAACACATGTGAATACATAATATAAGATAATATTGCTATTAATTAATATATTTTGGATTCTAATCAGCTAAATTACTTTTACAATCTAAAATACAAAATCTTCTGGCATCACTGTCAAAGATAAATTAACAGTTACAGTTTTTTTTCATTGTTATAGCGTCTGAATCAAAATTTTGTAACAAATATTAATTAATATTTGACATTCTTAAGAATGTCGTTATAATTTACTTATAATTAAATAATAAGCATTATATACAAAATATTTAATAAGAGTATAAGGGATGCTACTTTCAATAGTGTTTGAATTAATGTCGCGTGAGAATAAATCGGTTCTAAATCGCCTTCTTATTTTTACCCTAAAAATACTTGAATTATGCATTCGAATACACTAACATAAAGTACATTTGCTTTTGAAATAGATAATGTAATACTCACTTGAAACGATTTCCTCCTATAAATAACACCTAAATAACAATTCTGATGGGATTACGTCGGAAATAACTGTCTCACCTAAACCACATGACACATATCCTACTGCTGGAGAACGCACACATCCGAATGAAAATGCATGATTTGTATATTTCGGATAGTTTGTGGTTCTCTTTCGCACATTATAATAAGAAATACGAATGATAGAAAGAGAAGGATGATAAATAGTTTTGGAGGTTGGTGATAGTGAGGGTTGTTTGATCAATGAACTTGGCTTCGCATAGTAATTTATAGTTTCCAAGTAGTTACGAAAGTCAATTTACGTTTGGTGTAAACAACGAATCCAAAGGTAGTAATATCTTTAACTAACATTAAAAATAAATGAAATTCTTGCCTGCCTGCCTATGCCAAAAACTAGTCAGCACGTCTCCTTATTAATAGCAATCGAATGTTTTTTTGAATAATTGAAATCGATTGAACCGTGTTCCCGAAATTGTCGACGAAAATTTGTATCCGCCCACACACACACACATTCATCCATATTTTCTAAAGTATGCCAAAATGTTCAGAAGCCTCTGGAACGTAAAGATATATAAAAATTTTCATTTTCCATTTTTTGCGATTACTATAACTTGCGCTACGGGTAGTTAATAAACGTTAACTGAGATTAAATAAAAGAATCATGTTTTAAAAATAAATTTATCAAAATATGGAACAACATTTACAACTTAAACTTAGGTATAATAGAAGAGACTCATACTATTTTTTTCTGCAAAGTTCTTTCTGAACCTAGCCTACGTATATCAATTTTTTTATATTATTTATATATAAAATTGCCTTAAATGTACATATAATAATATATTAAAATATATCTAAATCCCTAAGCACTCAGTAATAAAATCGATTACTTTAAACTATTTGCATTATCTTTGGATTGTAGTATGATTAGCTAGATAGTTTTATTATATAAAAAACATTCGGATAAAAATTATTTCATTATATCATTTAAATAAATTTTGCTCCTTTATATACTTAGAAAAATTTGCACTCAAATTAAAAAATACAATAATTTTTTTTCAAAAGATCCACCAACTTAACATTTTCATTTCCGGTGATTTGTTTGATTTTGTATGAATTGAAATTTAGTTCGTCGGACACACACTGCCTTGCACTTTACCGAACGCCTGCTTGGTGGACAAATGCATTTCTAGACGATTTATTTCCAAATTTCTTATACATCCAATAAAAGGTACTCGTGCAGTTACTCCACGGACTTTAGCAAAATGAGGATGACCACCGATAAGCAATGGTCTGGAAGTTTCCGTCATTATAGGCGCCAAGGAATCGATGTGCGGTTCTACAACAATACTATCGACTACTAAACTTAGCAAATATTTAACTTTTACTGCCTCCACAGAATGCCAATTTCCGTCGCAGAAGAAATGTGGATATGGCGGTGTGAAAGTTGTCACCATGGGTCCTTTTCCACTGTCTACTGTAAAGTTTATAGTTCCATTTATCATTTGCAGAATCAAATAATGCCTCTTTCCATGTACGGAAGCTAATAAACCGTTGTTAGTTCTAGCTTTGATGTCCATTTTGATGTTAAAGTCACTACCAACTCTGAATCTATCCTTTATCTTTAAGTAGCCACCGCTCATGTACATTCCTGGTTCGACAGCATCAGCACAAGGTATCACACCTGTGCTCTTGAATCTATCATTCACAGAAACATCGTTTAGTTTGAAATTTCTCAGGCAACCATCAAATGTATCATTCATATCCATAATATTGTTCTTAATTTGTTTCGAGTAGTCAGGATCGATGCCTCCCAGGTAGAAAGGTGCTTCCATATTCAATGTCTTTGTATTTCCACTAGACGCTCCAGTCGCCACCTCGATGCCATCTACTATTAAACTGCCCGTAGTATGCACTCTCGAGAATTCAACAGTATGCCATAGTCCATCATGCAATTGCTCATTTGCTGTCAAGTGTGCGGGTCCCGAACCGCAGTTGAAAGAGTAGTAAAGTTTACCGTCCATCATATACAAAGCGACAAAATCAACATGACGAGCATCAGCTGCATAGAATATAATTCCGTTTCCAATTGCAGTTCTAAATTCTATTGAAAATTTGAATTTGTTTTTATATTTTCCAGGTAAAGACTCAAATTGCAGTCGACTGTTAGTAGTTGTTCCAAAACGATAGCCATCTTCAAAAGTGGCCTCCAAACAGGATCTACAGATAATTTACATTGATCGCTCTTTTTAGGAACTTCTGCTGGTTTAGCATGAGGGCCAAATGGTATGGGGTCGACAGACGGTTTCGCTGGTTTATTATGATGAATTGGTTTTTCAGTAACAACGTCAGGTATAATTTCATTTTCAAAGAAGTCATCGTGTGTTGTCTGATATACAGGTGGTTCCGTGACAAATTCTGGAGGAACGTAAGGCTTTTCTGGAGGTTCTGGGTGTGGTTCTGGATCTATCTCATTCTCAAAGTCTTCATTTGCAGGATGAGATGTAGCAGTTTCGGAATGAGTAGGATGTTCATCGAAAATAGGTACTCGAGGTTCGATGTCTATAGGAGATTTTTCGTGTGTACAAGTGCCTAAAATATCACCGACCTGAAAGATTTAATGATATTGCATGAAATGTTACAGCCATTGTTTTTTTTTCCTGAAAATATAAAATAACAATCATTTTTACATTTTTAGATTATGGTACATGAGACTATCGCTTCTCCTATGGTGTCAAAGGTTTTAATTTTTTATTGAAAAGTATATTATTCGGCACGTGTAAAATTACTGATGTAAGGCAATCAGAATAAATGCCAGAAATTTAAACTTTCATGACATTCGAATTAACAATTAGATAAGTTATAATATTACTTTCTGTAAGTTATTTTATTCGATATTACTTACCCTATCAGTAGAGTTTGCAAAGTTTATAACAACTCCATTGAGCGTAGCATCGCCGATACATCCAAAGAATGAATCTTCCGATGCACTAGTTCCGCTCGCAATGCTGTAGCCTTGGGGCAGACCACCTATCCACAAATCACCATACATCATGTGCAACATAGGCGGTGAACCATCCGAACTGCAATTTTTACAATGTGTCAATTCATAAATATCAGAACTTTGTGAAATGATATGCATCAATTTTTATTAAGCCTTCCATAAAGGAAATCCAAAAACTGTGTCATATTTGATAAGAACATTTAATATTTTTTAGATTATTTTTATTACCTATATTGACGAGTGTCATCGACGTCCAGCTTCAGAGCATTGGGTTCGTGTGTTACTGTTACTACATGCCATTCCCCGTTGCTGTAGTTATTATCCTTTGTGACCAACTCTTCCCTTTGACTCCTGAAGTGTAATCTGCCTTGCACCAAAGACAATGATACAGTAGCTGTTTGATCGTGATTGCTAGCATAGAATATCAACCCATCGCTATAGTACGTCTTGAATTTCAAATTAATCTGGAATAAGTTGGCAGCTGAAATATTTGGCCGCCTCACATATCCCGGAGACTGAATATCAAATGATACTATTCTTTCAAATTTACTGGGGCAACCAGGTTTAACCGCTACAGCACGCAAATTGGAACTCAAGTCAATGGGTGTACCTGTGATTTGTACTCCATCTATACAGCCATCGAAACCCATATTGGTAACATTGGACACATTATGCTTCATAGGATATCCACCGAAGAACAAACGATCAGATTCTTGCAACATTTCCACTGAACCTGAGGAATCTTCTCCAGTTATGACTTCTGCATCATCTAATTTTAGAAGACCCTTTCTACCATCTCTGCCAGCTATAACAGTATGCCATTGGCCATCGTTATAAGTCTCACTTGTTCCCATAACAACTGTTTCTCGATCAAGTTTATACTTGTAGTATATTTTACCATTGCGCATTTCAACAGAAATGAAACTTTGAGGGTTACCACTCAAAAATAGCAAACCATTCTTGGTATCTTTGTTTGTGTTGAAATTCAAACGTATTTCTGATTGACGCCCAATTCCGCGGGAAGCAACATCTATTAAAACATAACCGTGTTTACTGAAACGATATCCAGTCTCCGTTTTCTCTGGTTTAACTAATCTATCACGTTGTTGAGCGCCATTATAATTTTCTTGAGCATCGACAAAGTTCCATAAGCCAACCGGTTCATCGCCTATTGTTAAATCTTCTATTTCACCTTCAAACGACGAATATTTCACATTGTTATCAATAGTGAATGTATTTGGGAAACCTCCTACAAATAGATGAGAATTTTCTTGATCTACATTAAACATGGTATGGGGTCCGCTTAATATTTCTTCTTTCTTGTGTACTTGAACTTTACCATCTTCTAATTCATCACGTATGATAAGTTTAACATTCTTACCCGTTCTTTCAACAATAAATTCATGCCATTCCCCATCGGCTACATATTTATCATTAATAATTCTTTCTGGGCCGTTTCCGATATCCATTACTAGTACTGGATAACCATGATCTATTTCAACAGCCATGAAATCGTCATCTTCGCCAGCTTCGGTTTCATCTTCCTTTTCATTTCCTAGATACATGAGAAAACCATTTGGTTTTTCAGTTTTGAAATAACCAGAAATTCTAGTAGATGTCGTCAATAATGGTAGATTTTTCGGAGGTGCCAGTTCTAATGTGGTGTTAGGTTGGAAGGCAACACCTACCTTTATAGAGTTGGCTAACTCGCGAGCATTTGAAATTTGTTCTTTAATAGCATATACCTCATCATCAAGATTTTCTATATTGTCTTTTAAGCCAGCCTGAGCTTCCTCCACGTCTTGGGCTAAAGCTCCAATTTCTGGAATACTATCTTGTATACCTTCCAATTGTTTACGGGTTCTAGTTATATCTTTATTGGTATCATCAAATGCCTTAGCTACTTGTTTGGCGTTAGCGACTTCTTCTGTAAGGTCTGATATTATTGGAGAAAGAATTCCCAACCCTTCTTTAGCTTTCTCGTCCGCGACTTTTGAGTCTTCAGCAGCTTTTTTAGCAACTTCCTCCAAAGGCTCGCTTGATATTCTTTCCAGAGCGTCATTAATTTCATTGGCCGTCATTTCGCTTTGTTCATTAAGGGACTCTATTTTATCTACGAGATCGTTTACCTTTTCTAATCCTACAGTGAGGTTTCTTTGTACTGTGTCCAAGGCTTCTCTTGAAGCGTGCAGTAGCTCTAGGGCTTCAAACTCAGTTTCGCCAGTTTTCTCTGCCAGACCATCAACCTTGTCGCTCGCGTTCGCCGACGCTTCTTGTGCTTCGTTCACGTATGCTGCAGCACTATCGATTTCGTCGATGATAGTTTTATAAGCGGTCGCCGCTTGTACGGCATTGTGCGAAGTATTACGAGTATCGGCTAACATATCATCCAATGTCATGGCATAACTATGCAAATCATTTGCATGCTGATGCGCTTCTTGCAGCGGTTCTATAAGTCGGTCCAGTTCTGATTTTTTATCCTGATACGGATCTGAGTTCAATTTATTATTCAAATCAATAATTTCATATCCCTTATTTTCTAAATCACTTTGAATAAGACGAGTGGCCATCAATTTTGTCGTAGCATTTGCTAAAAGTGCTTTCCCTAATTCCAAAGTATCATTGAGTTCTCTGTGTTGATTTTTCACTGTGTCTATTTTGCTTTTTGCGTTCTTTTCAGTGTTCGTTGTAGTAAGATTTACTGCAATATCAGAAAGTCCGCGTGCTATTAACGAATTATTGTACATATTGTCCAATTTATTGTTATATGTCTTTACTTTTTCAAAAATAGCATCCAATTGTTTCTTTTGTTCTGCGGCAGGATTGGCATAATCAACCATTTCTTCTAACAATATTTCCGCCTTATCCAACTGAGTGTCCACATCATTATGAATATTACTTAAGTTGATTAATTTGATTTCCTCTAGAAGCCGTTTGCCTTCAGCGAGCGAAGAATCTAGCTTCTGTTCTTGGCCTGTCTCTAAACTATTAGCCAATTGCTCAACTTCGTTGACTGTTGTATGCGCCATCGTAACAGCATGACGAATTGAAGAAATGATATCATTTGCGGATGATTTCAGATTGTTTCCCAGAGGACTTAATTCCTTTCCATTTTCCGCATTGTATTCCGCCTGTCGATTTAGATTATTAATATCTTGATCTAAACTTTCAATTTCTAATATGATAGGAGTTAATTCGATGTCGTTTGGATCTAGTAAGTTCACTTTCTTGTTTAGTTCCCCCACAGTTTTATTTATATAATCTAGTTTTTGAATTAAAAAGTAATCAGAAGCAATGCTCTTAAAGTCTAATGAAACAGGTTCTATTATATCATATAATTGATCAGTGACATCCAACAGATCATGCGCACATTTGTCACATTCGTAGCAACCACTATTTTGTATTAAAACCCATCTATGCGGACAACGGTCACACTTTTCTCCAACGACGCCCGGTAAACATTCACACTGTCCGGTATTAACGTTACATCCGAATCCTAGAGAGTATTCACTTTTGCAGTTACATGAAACGCAGCCTTCTGATGTTAAGTTCCAGTAACCGGCTGCACATCTATCGCACTTGCGTCCTGCAACTCCGGGCTTGCATTTACATTGACCGGTGGAATCTTCACATTGGTCGGATTCAGAGGCTATACCACAATCGCAAGGTGTACATCCACGACCGCTATTAAAGCCGTAATGATTCTCTGCGCATCTATCACATTTATCTCCTTCAACGTTATCGAAACATTTGCAAGTACCGACGTAACTGTCACAATATTCAGTACCCATTCGATCACATATACAACTTTGACAATCCTTTAGAGTAACTGCATCTCCAAAATATCCGGGAGCGCACAAGTTACACGCGACACCAGCCGTATTATTTAAACATTTTAAACATTCGCCAGTTATAGAATCACATGATCCAGGTTCTTCTGCGTTGATGTTACCTGAACAACTGCAAGGGGTGCATTCTTCTCCGGGCGATTCCGGTCGACCAAACCAACCTGCGGCACATGATTCACATCTAGCTCCAAAGTAACCCTCTGTACAATCGCAAGAAATTCGATTGCCATCAGAACTTACTTCACATCCAACTGCAAAGTTATTTGAGGCTATTGGCAGTGGACATGCACAAATCAAACAATCGTTTGGTGTTCCTATTGTGGCATTACCATGATATCCTGTTATACACTGTTCGCAGTGGTCTCCTGTTGTAAAGTGTTGACAATCATAACATTTACCGGTGTTAACATCGCAAGTATCAGAATGGCCATTACACTGGCAGGGTATACAATACCCTCCATATGGGCCAGTATTTGAACGATAATACCCTGGAGCGCAGTCTTCACATGATAAACCAGAATAATTGGGCGGGCACTGACATTCCTCCACAGCTAGAGCAGGCTCTGCATTGCGATAATAAGTATCCGTTGCCGTATCTAATGAAACATTTTGCAAACGCGTTGTAACACTGGAAGACCAATAAGGCGCTCTAATAAATAACCCTTGCAAACTCTCTAATACAACCATAAGTTGTTCTCTAGTGCACGGTACTCCTGATGGTGACACAAAGTTAGATTCAATAATTTCAACTGATGCTTTATAGTAGATATTTGAAGCAGGCTGCTCAAGAGATTCGTGAATCAAGAAACTACCTTTGCCTTGAAGTATTACATCGCCGCCACTAATAGCACTTCCAAATATTCCAGTTGTATAAAATATAGTGTAATTCAAAAATCCGCCATATGAACTCAGCCTATTACCTAAATAATATTCGGGGGCACTAAAATATGTTATGCTGGTATTGAAATCTTCATTATCCAAATTTACACCAATCACAGATTCGGAAAGTACTTCTGGAGTTGCTGCTTTTCTCGACACATTAACCGCATTGGGCTTCTGAATAACAGAATATAAACTCCAGTCGTTCATATTTTCTATACGGGCCGATACCAAAGTGAACTTTCGCAACGGGTTGTTTTACCGAAACAGAAACATTTAGTGCAACCATCGGGGTTTTCATTTTGGATATTAAAGGTGCCGTCTTTACAGTCATCACAAGCCTCACCATGAACATTACTCTTACAGAAACATTCTGCACTAACCTGGTCACAAATATCCATCAATGTGCCTTTTGTATCGCACTGACAAGATTCACACCATGGGAATCTATAGTGACCGTTTTGACATCTATCACAGGTACGACCTACTACATTTTCTTTACAAGTACAACTTCCATTGAATATATCACACTGTTGGTGGCCTAAAGCAATACCTAACGGATCGCATTTACAGTCTTCACAACCAATGATAGGATCAAAACCGTATGTGAATCTCTCACACTGGTCGCATTTTGGTCCAGTCACTCGAGGAGGGCATATGCAAGCACCAGTTCTAGGCTCGCATAAGGCAGTAGTGGGACAATTGCAAGGTTTGCAATCTGGAAAGCCATAAAATCCAGTTTTACATTCCTCACATTTTCGACCAATAATATTCGGTTTGCATTCGCATTGTCCTCCAAACTTTTCACATTCGAAACTTAGAGACCCTTGAAAATCGCACTGGCAGGGTAAAGCACGATTATTATAATCTGCTGTGAGTGAAAATATAGCATCTTTGCAAAAACCTGTAGAATTTGCACTTATGTGGAAATGATCATGTCCACATTGAGATATAAATTCCTTTGTTTGATCAAAAATATCTTCTGTCAGTAACGATTTGGTGTACTGTTCTCTTGGTACTAAAAGCAAATAATCAAGCCATACATCCTTACCTTCTGGCATTTTTATTGACATAACAAAGTTTTCAGTTAGATCAAAGAATTTGTTATCATTATTTTGTGTTACAACACTACGACAACCAGCATTAGAAGGACAATGTGGCAGTGATAACTTAGCTTCATAAAATTGACCATTTTGTATAAGTATTTCTGCATTGAATTCTGGATGAGCAGGTTGATAGTACTGAACTACAAATGTATAATATCCGGGATAGGATACATTAGACTTTATATCAATCATAGGATTTATGTTGTCAAGATAAATTAATTTTGTTGCATTGTCGGTGATATCTTCAGGATTTTCTACAATAAGTTCTTCATTTTCAATTTCAAATTCAATTTTCTTTGAATCAGGAGGCAACGAAAATTTGGTTTGAGTGCATTTACCATCTTTTAGAACACAAACAGATTTCGGTTGAATGTAATCTAATGACCAGTCTTCCTTTGGAATAGCTGAAATTGATTTGATTCCAGTGGCTGTATTATTACCGCTGTCCAAAATTATGCTAACAAAATTGTCTTCAAAATTGAAGCTTGCAACATTTCCTTGGCGGTTTAGTATAACTTGACGACAAACCATTGAATATATACAAGCAGGAAGATAAAGTGAACCATGTTCTCTGCCATTTTTAGTACTAACTTCAGTTTTTACATCCGCCATAGTTGGATTGGAACGAAGTGTGATGTAATCGACTACTAGAACATACTGCCCAGGTTTGGTAATAGTCATGTCCAAATTCATTTTCTGCTGATTTGTCCCGAGAACTGGAATATTCTCTAGCCGAAGGCTTTGTAAATGTTTTGCATCAGAAATATATTCTTTTAAAGGTTCTCGGCTGTTTCCATTTTCAACAAATGCTCCTGAGCCCTTAACCATATCAAAATGATTTACATCCGGATAGCCAAAATGTCTACATAATCCCATTTGATCGATTTTACATGGTGTGTCAACTTTTTGCGTAAGAATAGAAGCCTCATAGAAGGCGGCTGGCAAAAGCACAAAATAATCAATAAATAGATTCTTGTCTGCTTTAATGTGCACATACCAATTTCCAGGATTCATTACGAATGGTGAAGGAGAATTTCCTTTAGCTCCCGAAACGGTAACAAAAGCGGGGTCGCTTGTACTTTTAAATAGGACGTCAAAAGTTTGTTCATTATCACTAGGATTGTCAGGTGTCACAGTAATTGTTCCAGCAATATTAAATGTATTTGGATTTACATATCTAATAACTACGCGATATACGGAGGATTTGAGTATGTACACATCTTGAATAACTTCATTCTGTAATTGTGAAAAAACTGCGTACCCTTTCCATGAATAATTTGGGAACTTACGTTCATCATAAGAATATCGTACTTTAGTATTCGCAACTGTATAACCATCTTCTATTTCATACTGATGTTGGTACAGCGTAGGAAAATAATGAGTTTGAAGTGGTTCTGTACAAGTACGTCCAGTAATTCTAGGATGGCATTCGCATTGACCTGTTCTTTTGTTACATCTAGAATTAATAGACCCTCCGACATCACAATCACAAGCTTCGCAGCCAAATACCGAATCTCTATCGAGCCTATAGAATCCATCAGCGCACTCGTTACATGTTCGCGAGGCGACAGACGGTTTGCAGAAACATTGTCCAGTGCGATCGTTACATACACCAATACCGCTAGCAGTACCAGAAAAATGGCATCCGCAGTCCTCGCATCCTTCAGGGTTACTTGGATTTAAATTCCAATATAAAGGTTTACACTGGTCGCAAATACGGCCTTGAACGCGTGGCTTACATTTGCATAGTTCTCCAGCTGGAACAGAACCGCATCCGGCAAATTCAGCTACCACACCTGCTGGATCGCAGTTGCAATCTTCACAATTAGGATAATTATAAAATCCTTCTTTGCAAACATCGCATCGGATGGTATCAAAATTAGGTTTGCACTCGCACTGTCCATCTGTGTTGCAAGTTATTCCTATAGCTCCGTATGAATCGCAATTGCATGGTAGACATTCGGGATATTTGTAATAACCAGGAGAGCATTGTTCGCAAGTTCTGCCTGAGAAATTGATCAAGCAGGGGCACTTTCCTGACGCGTCACATATCGTGGATGAAGATCCGGTTTGGCTACAACTGCATGGACGACAATCAGGATATCCGTAATATCCAGGAGAGCATTGGTCGCATCGTTCTCCTCCATAGCCCATTTTGCATATGCATTTTCCAGTAGTTGAATTACACACACTTTCTATTGTGCCTTGAATGTCACAGTTGCAGTACTCGCAAGTCGGATAATTGAAATAGCCATTTCTGCATCTATCACAAGATCTTCCATCAAAGTTATTTTTACAAGAACATTGTCCTGATGCGTAGTCGCAAACATTAGTAAGAGAACCTTCAGAATTGCATTCGCAGGGAAGACAATCAGGAAATCCGTAATAACCCTCGGCACATTCTTTACAATAATTTCCGCTATAGTTAGGTTTGCAGGGGCAGTATCCATTCTAGCTTCGCAGTGGTAACCATCGGTTCCGTTCAGATGACATTCACAAGGTTTGCAATCGGGGAAACCAAAATAGCCATAACTACAAGCATCGCAATTTGGCGGCTGAAACTCTTGTCGGCATTCGCAAACTCCAGTTTCTTCGGCGCAGTTTCCAGTAGAATAGAATACGTCGCACGGACATTCTGCAAATAATGGATCATAAAGTCTTGCTGGTAAAAATATTATAAAACATGTGGCAAACAAATTCAATTACCTCGACAAACATCTGTCTCATTCCAATATTTTCCTGCAGGTCTATAATACTTCGGTTTACACCTATTGCAATTGATTCCTTCTGTGTTATCTTGACAATTCTGACATACGCCACCTCCTTCGTAGTTACCATGAATGTCTAGAGATTCGCGTCGTTCATCTACCTCTGCGTCGTATACGCACTCCGACGCATGGTTGTGACAATTACAAGCTATTGTGATGATTATTAAAATGAATACAAACTTAATAAATAATATGATAATAATATTAAACTTCAATTAAATGATTGTAAACTTACGTTCGCAGACAAATCTGTGTGAGCTCTTGCTCTGTCGCCAAGCTTTCTGCTCAAATCCAGGGCAACAGAAGGCGCATTGTGGTCCGCAGGTGTTGTGTTGGCATCTGCACATCAATTTGCTAGGGTCACTCGGGTCCTGAATATCGCAAGTATCAGCATGACCATTACACATACAACGACCACCGATAGAGATATCCTTTATTGAGTAGAAATACTGCAAAAGAATAGAAAAGTTAAGAAGCAGATAATAGAAAAGATTATGTAAAATGATTGTTTTTAATAATAATTGGTATTTCTTACTCTCCTGGTCACAGTAGGATCTTGTCTTGCGACAGACATCAAATGTCCCAATAAATTTTTGGTCCGCAAAAGCCTGAAACGAACATTTGTTGCTCTGGTCCACTCTTGAAGGACGCTGGAGTTGAAGTAATGATTAGCAGATGGTCGATTTTTCAGCAATGATATCGGAATCTAAAAATAAAATAATACAATTTAAAGCCTTCACATTATATATACATTCAAATGCGAAGGAAGCCACTCCACATTTGGAAAAAGATTTTTGAAAACAATTTTGATATTAAATATTATCGAAAATATGTTAGTTTGAGAACTCAAGCAACTTCAGAAAAGTTTATTATCTTGTATAATAATTTGATTCAGTAAATTGATTTCTAATATCTAATTTCTAATTTACTTCTCCGCCTTCCAAAGGCACAATCTTGGAATATTCAGTGTTGCAAATCACAGAATCGTCTTTTGTAATGGGCTGCAAACTTTCTTTCCCAAAATATGTTTCACAATCAGAGGGCGAATCAGAAAAATACTGCCAAGGTGTGTAAGTCTTCCCATGATCAGATGACTTCTCCAAAACCCAAAGACCAGGCCTAGGTGAATTACCCATACGAATGTAAACGTATGCGACGTGAAATTCCTGCAGAAATAGATAAAAAAAATTAGATAGAAAAAAAAATAAATTTATTAAACTTAATATGCCTAAGTAATCGAATATATATTATCATTTCTAGTGGACAAGAAATAATTTACAGATTAAGGGCGGCGGCGTGAGAAATTCTTAGAACTCATTTTTAATGTAAATATTTATATAGTGATAAAATTCGATGATATGTAAATAAAATGTACTATATAATGTCTTTCTATTTTTGAATAAATTTCAATTCTTCGCACTTGTAATAAATCATAAATTAATAAAAATGTATGCAGTCCAAAAGCTTAGCAATTGGGGACAATTACATATAAAATAAGATATCAATTTGTAGTACATGGCTTCACACAATTTAAAAAATTCAAACTCAAAATAAAAATATTTATTTATCCTAAAATTGAAATCTAACTTTATCTATAAACTATAACATTTTTATTCGACATTAACAAAAGCTTTTATTATTATTTTCTATATATAAACATTCCATTCCATGTTTATGCTGGCAACTATAATATACAATAGGTACGTTGTCGTAAAGTCCGACTAATAAAAACGACGATAACTATTTTATTAAACATATATCCTTGTATGAAAATTTATGTCTATATTCAGATGTTCAATGTACTTTGTGGAATTTGCTATTGAAATTAAATGCTGAAGTCTAACTTTTCCTGGTAAAGAACATCTTCTGAAGGTGTCTTAGATGTAAAGACATATGTCATAGAAATTAAAAATATTATTTTTTGGACTATTTAGGTAAAACATAATAATATTGTTCGAACAACCTATTTAAGAAATAAAAAAATAACAAAATGAGTATAGCCCATTCAAATAATTTACGAAATAGGGAGATCCCCTTAAAATCGCAAAGTTCGCCAACGCAGACGACATTTATGATATAAACTCGACATAATATGCAGATAAAACTAGTCTATATTAAATTAATGTTGATAAATACAAATGCACACAACCATGTATAAGAATAAAATATTAGAAGATGAAACTTAAATGAATGACTTAAGTTACAAGTTTTATCGCGAATTAGTCATTCAAAGCTCTTAGTGTAACGTAATCATGTTTCTGTAAATATAAAATATCTGAAAAATTAAATAGACTTGGTATATGGAACTCCAACAAACGGCCAAGGTAAAAAGGTAAAAAGATTCAGTGTCATTATTTTCCTGGTCAATCTCAAATCAGTCAATTGGTAAATGATTTTGTAAGTTGTGCATTTAGTTAATTTTGATAGTTAATATAACAAATTTATATAACTATTATTTACCTGTCCCAAATCTATGGTTAAATTGACTTCGTTATATTTCATCCCCCTGGACAGGGGCGGACTCTGCCACCAGGTCTCCATTCCGTCCACAGCAAATTCTGGTGGATGCATTTTGTCATATCGGGTAGGATCGCAGTAATCGCACACCTGAATTAAAAATTCCATTCCATGAATTAAAAAATATTATAATAGAAATAAATGATAAAACTAATACTAAGACAGAAATAGTGTACTTGAATAACAGAAAATTTGTAAATCATATATAGCTTAAAAAAAAATTATATCACACCAAACCATGCTCTTGTAAATATTTAGTTTTTGGTGCACTGACTTCACCAAATTATATATGTAAGTTAACACATTTGATAATAATTTATTATAATAAGTGCATATAGTAATAAGTTTATATTTATAAGAATAAGTGAATAAAATGATAAGTGGCTAAATTAATAAATATTAAAGAAAAGTATTTTTATATTTAGTCCAGCAGATTATATGTTGGGGTCATTAAGAGTAATTTCAGCATCCAATTTCAGTAAGCGCCATGTAGATAATTAAAAATGCTAATTAATATACTTCTGTATATTAATTATTTGTTCATAAGCAAACTTCTTTTATTAGTTATTAATATTATTTTAGATAAATCAAGAAATTCAATAACCTAAAATCTATATCTCTTTATTTTTTTTTAAACACCTCTATTGATTTAATTAATTCACACCAATATATAGAGAGATAATGTAACGTAGTCTCTATACTTGTGGTTATAAATTTTCACCTTTAAATATCAGTTCACTTTACCAATCCTAAAACTAAATAAAGAATGATTTCTTCTAGAATGGAATTTTAAAATGCAAATAACACGTGTGCTGCAACATGGCCAGCAAATGCAGTAGCATCACGTGCAAGGAATTACGAAATGTTTTCATAATGTAATAAAAGCAAACTGTTTACATAAAATAAAGATACAATAGTTTACATTAACTTTAAAAATAATTTATAAATTATTTTTAGTAGATACACCATTTAGTGTATCTACTATTATTTAGTAAATATTGTGTCCTTCATGTATCTTGTTAGCAGTTTCTTCTTATTGTTTTTATATAAACAGACCACAGAATAAAGTTAAATTAAACTAGCTGTAAGTGGAATTCTGTCTTGAGGCAATTATGGCATCGTGCCTTAAGGCAAATTGCTGGAACTTCCCGTACCGTAACGAAATGTTCGAGGAATATTGAATGTTTTCAAATAGATTATTATAAATATTGTAACATTGTCTAATATTTATAAGAATTATATAAACCGAATTGCAGAGTTGAAATTATTTCTAAAGTATATTAGAACTATAGTCAGAATTAAAAATAAAATCTTAAATATTTTCGATATACAAAATACTAAAAAAAAAAAAAAAAATGGTACAAAATTTTTTTTTCAAAATCAATTATTTTGTTAAGACAAGCAGAAAGTTCTTTGAATCATTTAAATCGGACGCTTAGTTCTCTCAAAAACTGCCATTTTTTACATATTTAGCTCCGTATCTTCGAAATGGCTGGGCCTGCCTTTGCCAAAAACTAATAAACACTTCTCCCAATCATTACTAATTGAATGTTTTTTAGATCATTCAAATCGGATACTCCGTTCGCTCAAAAATTCGATTTCTATTTTCTGCACTCTTTGCTCCGTATCTCCGAAACGGCTGGACCTGCCTTTGCCAAAAACTAATCAGCTCTTTTCCCAATCAATAGGAATCGAATGTTTTTTGAATCATTCAAATCGGTTGATCCGTGCGCCCTAAAACGTGACTGGAAATTTGTATCCACACATACATACACACACACACACACACACACACACATCCATTTTTTCTGAGGTATGCCAAAACGTTCAGAAACCTTCAAAACGTCGAGAAATGTAAAAATTTTCAATTCCGATTTTCGGCCCATTACAATAACTTACCCTACGGGAAGTTAATAATAATAATAATAATAACAATTTATACTATACAATTCATTGCATCAGCAAATTTTTGATAGTACTTTAAAAAATGTCTAAATCTTATGCCAAGACATAGCTATAAATAGAAAATTCAGGGCATTTTTTTGGTTTTTATCAAATAAGTCACAAATTTTATACGAAACCACTAGGGTTAGATAGGGTAAAACTAGATACAATTTTCAAAAAACATTTCCATTAAAACAGTTATATACACTCCGATATAAAAGTTTTGAATAAAACGCCTTTGAATTTGATATTTCATTATTTAGCAATAAATAGAAAATTCGGGACATTTTTTTGGTTTTTGTCAAATAACTTATAATTTATTTTAATTCGAGGAGATATGTTAGTTATTTTAAATAAATAAATCTCAAAGTTTTTTTCATGCATTTTTTTTTAAAAAAAAAATCTTTCACTTTGGCGCTTCCACTTTAAATGGCTATCCAGTATATATTTGCATTCAATTTTGTAATTTATTTTCATCACAATAATTTTTATTAATTACAAGAAAGAGTAAGTTATGTGTTCTGTAAAAATTGAAAATATAGACGAATTTCAATTAACTATTTTGTTAGGTGAATGTTCTGGTTAGTAATATTTTCCAAATTTACCAAATGATTTCAAACATTGCGTTCGACTACTGTCTTCAATTTCAAATACTTGTTCTATGATCTAAATGCTTATCTAAATAAATATATCGTTATCGAAATCGTTTAGATCTTGTATTAAAATTACCATTGAAAGATATAAATGTTGAATGAAAAATCGTACATTAAAAATAAAATTATTTTTATTAAAAAGATGAATAATATTAATCAACAAAAATAAAAACTAATTTTTACTTTAATAAAAATTTAAATTATTTTACATTTATTATTAATACTATTCCAACTGCTATAATGATTTACTTGCATAACTAAAAATATGAAGAGAAAACGATATCTTTTTACTATATGAGTAAATATTATCTTTTTCATCTGAGAAAGAAACTAATTGAAAATCCACAAAACAACACTAAATGCAGTCTTATGAGAAAAAATTAAGCTTTTGAAAGAAAATTAGAACGTATTCGATATGGAAACTAAGTTTTTTTTGAAAATTTAATATATAACTTTTTATAGATGTACCAAGATTTAATTATCAAGGAAACTATTCCTATATGTGTGTAACGATTTTTAGTTTTAATTCGGCCTGCCGATTTTTCGTTGGTTCACTTTTTACTGATAGAGGTTGTTTTGCTGAACAAGTTTTTTTATTTCTTTAACAAAAATATAAGAGTGTTTTATTTAATAAAAATGATTCAAATAAAATTCTAATACTAGAAAATTAAAGAAAAATCATCGATTTTTTCATGAGTATGAGTATCTACTTTATTCACACATGAGCTTTTAGCGGATTCTAATTCATAAATTTTCAAAATCCAACAACAACTTTTATAATAAGCATACGCCCTTGCTTTTATCAATTTTCAAAAAAAAACATGCAAATTCTTGTAGTCATTCTTGATTTTTTCTCACAAGTCCTGACCTTGTTCTTGAATCCTTTGGATTCCTTGTGCGAATTTCAACCATGAATATAACAGCAAGTTGTACTAATTGTAAGAAATAATGAAAATTAAAAGCAAGTATCGTTGTAGAGACCAATATAAAAATATGAGAGAACATCGTCGATGGGACAGTGGCTCTAATTGTGTTAGCACAGAGCTTTTTATTTTTATATTAGAAATATGCGAGATTTTTTGATAGCTCGTTTATAATAACGGATGTGTGACGATTATGTAGGTCAGAGGTCCTCAACCACTGCTCTACTGTATGAGTTTCCGCTATTCATTCGATTAATATTTGAATAAGCTCGAAATTGACATTTTGCGAGGGAAGAAAGTGAAATATTCAAGATTAAGAGTTAAATGCTTGTTTATATTTATTGAGTTTAAGCACAAGTGTAATTCTTGTAAATATACTTGTATTCGTGTAAAGCTCATATGCATGATTAAAGTATGATACTCATACAAATACACGCAAAATATTTTATTATTATAATTTTCTAATCTTTAGTTTTTAATAACCTAAATTTGTTATATAACTTAATTTACCGTTATCAATAATCCATTAAATCATGTATGTCTTTACTAAATCATCTATTGGCAGAGAATTCATTATGAAGGATCTTGAGATATTTTAGAAAATTAATTTATAAATAAATTTATCATATTGAATTAAAACAGAAGTTTTCAACCTTTTCGTACCGCGTCCCCCTTACCCCGAATTAATTTTTTTAATAATTTCATAAATACTCAACTTATATTATAAATAATTATGAGATTATAAATTAATAAGCAATATTATGTAAAAAAATAAATAAAAAGTAAATTTAAAAAATTTAGGTTTATTTTCGAAAATAGAATTTTGGTAACAGCTGTACATCCCTGTTAAGACACCCTTGCGTCCCACTGTTCGGAAACCACAGAATTAAATTAATTAAAATAAAAAGGTATTAATGTTTTATATAGTATGTAAAATAGCATAATATACAATAGTATTTTAAATAAAAGTCTATAATACTTGATGGACAATCAATTTTGATGGCGTTCTTCAGTTTTATATTTACTACGCCTTTAAAGGAGTTCCTTGTTATTTGAATTTTTTGTAATGAAAATAAATTTCAAAATTAAATACAAATTATACGGGGTGGGTTTCCTGACGTCCGGGTATGATTTCTGTAATTTTTTTTTTCTTTTTTTGTTATAATTTATTTTTGCTAATCAAGACTTGAATGTCTTATTTACAAAATTGATAGGTGCAAAAAAGAAATAATACAAAAAAGTACAATAAATTGAATATAAAATGAAACAAAGTTAAAATAAAATAAAACAATAGTAAAACAAAAATAACAATATAAATGAACAATGACATGATGATGTATGCCGCGTACCCAGTTTTCCTCTAAATATATGTCCAATATGTCTGCTAAAGTTTCGACCCAAAAAATTCAATATTTTATATTTCGATGCACTAAAAGCAAGAGTTCTGGATGCATTTCCTCTGATCCGTTTTATAACATAGCATCATTTTTAGTTTAGTAAATTAACATCTTACGAGGACGTCCAATCATTGTATTGGCATTCGATTTAGACATTTTTGTAAGTACTTCCCAAAATATGCTGATATTCCAAATGAAATAGGTGCATATAATAAAAAGTAGTAAATACCGCAAACGTAAAGTACTTGCTTAAAGTTTCACATCTTTAATAATACGTCAGCGAAAAAAAATCGGGATTCGCAAAATGAAAATGGGGGTCCACGGTAGTGGATCACAATACACCACGTTAATATCTATTTGCTATATCTTAAATAAGCAAAAATAAAAAATAAAAAAATGAAAAAATATTTTAATTAGTTTTATATAATTCTTCCAAATAGTGTTTTAGTCAAAATTTCAATTAAATATTAAAATTTAAAAAAAAACTGCCTTATACGCCTACACTGGCCATCGTCTGCGGTTATCTCTTCGGCTACTACACAACACTAACACCAATTCCGACTTCTGTATATGTATAAGGGGCGACTAATACATATGATGACAAAACAGGATGACCCATGCTATAAGATTACAATATGAGCGATAAACGCCATCCCGACAACTCAAATTCATTCCGAACTCGGAAAAAACATCAAATCACTTCAATAACGAAATTCATGAATTGGGAGATAGCGCGATGGCTATGAAGAATAATTGGGATCATGTAGTAGACTGGATGCTAATTAAAGAGGTATTCCTTGAGAGAATAGATAATTGAATATAGTCAGAAAACCTTGTTAGTTAACATTATGAATATACAATCAAAATGTCTAATTTTGATATATTTTATGGCCTACATAAATTAATTTTCCCCAGCATGCAATTTGAGTGATCAAATTAACCAAATATTCCCGAAAGAGGTGAGGGTCATATGGATGAAAAGTTCTACAAAAAAATTATTTAAATATTCAAAATTGATTTAAAATGATTCAATTTCCATTATTCAATAAATAAATACCCTTAATAGCCCATCGAGTAATTATTGCCCTTAATATTGGAGTAAGTCCAAAACTAGGCCTTATCTATTATCAGATTTGATCATTTATTTATATGTTTCACGAATGATTGACTTGCTTTATAGGAATTATTTTGGAAACAAAAAATTTACATAATTTATTTAAAATATGAGAATACCAACTCAAAATTTAAGGAAATAACTATAATTTATATCAAATTGAGAATAGATCTCTACAATTAATAACTATTCTAATAATAATTGCGCTTGCAAACAACACACTCTCAAATAACACAAATAGGATAAAAATTGAACCCAATTAAGTCATCTGCATTACAAATATTAATTATGAATTAAAACAATCTTTGAACCCTAAATTAATAGTAACTAGTGGTGTATAGCATCGTGCCTTAAGGCAAATTGCTGGAACTTCCCGTACCGTAACTAAATGTTCGAGGAATATTAAATTTTCAAATAAAATACTGTAACATTGTCTCTTATTTATGAGAATTATATAAACTGAATAGCAAAGTTAAAATTACTTATTTAAAGTATATTAGAACTTTAGCCAGAATTAGAATTGAAATCTGAATTATTTTCGATATACAAAAAAAATTTTTTGAAAGAAAAAAATTGAATTTTTTTTCCAAAAGCAATTGTTTTGCCAACACAAGCAAAAAGTTATTTGAATATTTCAAATCGGAGGCTTCGAATTCTCTCAAAAACTGCCATTTTTTGTACATTTAGCTCAGTTTCTTCGAAACGGCTGGACCTGCCTTTGCCAAACACTAATCATTATTTCTCCCCATCATGACAAATTGAATGTTTTTTGGATCCTTCAAATCGGATACTCCGTTCTCTCAAAAACGCGATATTTATTTTCTGCACTCTTTGCTCCGTATCTCCGTAACAACTGGACTTGCCTTTGCCAAAAACTTATCAGCACATCAATAGGAATCGAATGTTTTTTGAACCATTCAAATCGGTTGATCCATGCGCCCGAAAACTTGGACGAAAAATTGTATCCATACATACATACATACACACACACACCGGATAAAATGCAAAATTCAAAAATGATAAAACGCAAAGAAATGCAAAAATTTTCAATTTCGATTTTTGGACAATAATAATAACTTACCCTGCGGGCAGTTAATTAAAAAAAATTAATTTATTTCAAAATTATCAGAGTAGGTAGAAAAGGTAATGTAAGTAGAAAAGTAATTTATCGAATTAGCACAAAAAAGTTTTTTCGCGTTTATTCAAACTTAACACTTAAATAATTGAAATTTTGCAAGAAAATTAGATTTTATTTCTGCAGTGATATAATTCATGTAAAATACATATATTAATTATTAAATTAAATACAATTAAGACATACGTTTTTTAATTATTTGTATGTACTAAGAAACTGCATTACTAGTTAATGTTTATTAAAAAAGTTGATTAAATTGCCATAGGCAAAATGTACCACGAAATTCTAAAAGTCAAAATAATAGTTAATTTAGTATGTACTTATCAAATTGTACCTTTTTACAAGAATTGTAATTGATGACTGTTATAATTCATTGTGTAAACATAAGTTTACTTAGGAATTTCGCACGTGCTCTAAACTGAACAATGTTTACACATGTAAGGATCAGATGGACTAAAAGCCTCCACAAAAAATCTATATTATTTAATAATTATTTGAATAATAACGATAAAAGCTACATGTTTTATTAACTTGATTGATCATGTAATCGATTTAAGAATTTTTGGATCTCTTTCCCTGTCTCTTCCTCTGGTGATATTTAAAATGAACCCAAATTTTTAGAATTTTTAAAATTCATTAAATTTTAAATTTAAACATTTAAACACCCCCTCCCCATAAACCAAATGTAATTAATGGATGGCCCTTCAGAAGAAATTTTAGTACCATAACTCATCACCTTTATAATGAAACAATTTACATTAAGGGGGGCGATACATGTAACAAGAAAAAAAAAACGATTTTTTTTTTTTTCATAAATCGTTACAATAACATCTCAAAAATATGCCTGCAAAAATTCAAAACAAAAATTATCATTATTTATACATTAAAAACTCATTTAAGTGCCACGCCTACACTCTTATCTGTTCTATGTGTCAAAACTTTAAACGCGTTTTTCTCAAAACGACATTTTTGAATACTGCGGGCGTGATAACTCAAAAAGTTCTCAACCGATTCCAATGAAATTTTGCACACATCTACTTTACAGTAATAGCTTCTAGTTAAACCTCAAACATTCCAAAAAAAATTTCAAAAATTAACCTTTTTACCAAAAAAACAGTGAAAAATGGTGAAAAATCGAACTTTTTTTTTCTGAGGTCTGCCAATTTACGATTTTGTGACTTTTTTAATTTTTTTTTGGTTTAACTAGAAGATATATGTTTTATGAATACGTACAAACTAATTTTTTTGAATTCAGATCACCGTACGAAAAGTGAGAACGCCCGCAGATTGATGGCGTTTTCCGAGAGGGTCTCGGCAGATCTATTTTTACGGCAGCCATTTAAAAAAAAAAAAATAAAAAAAAAATGTTTTTGTGTATTTTAATATATAATAAATAACCATAAAAAAATTCAAAAAGATTCAGTTATTCCTTCCCAGTTTAAAAAGTCCTCAAAAAATGGTAAAAATTAAGGCGATTACATGTATCGCCCCCCTTAATTTTGAACTGGAAAATACTGGAACTTAAAAGCATGAGAATTATTGAATTCTTCTCAAATTATCATCGTAATTAATGAACTCTTTCTCTTACTACTATTGAAAGTATAAAATACTTTTTGCTAAATTTTCAATACATAAAATAGCGTCAATATATCCCTTAATAAAATATTGAGCTTATTTTGGGAGAATATTTGATAAATCAAAAAAAAAAACTTAATTTTGTGATAATGGACAAACGATTTTCCTAGATTATTAATTTACATTAAATATGAACTGGAAAATACTGGAACTTAAAAGCATGAGGATTATTGAAATCCTCTCAAATTATCATGAAATTGTAATTAATGGATTCTTTCTCTTACTACTCTTAAAAGTATAAAATACTTTTTACTAAATTTTCAATACATAAAATAGCGACAATATATCCCTCGATAAAATATTGAGCTTATTTTGGGAAAATATTTGATATATCAAAAAAAAAACTTAATTTTGTGATAATGGACAAACGATTTTCCTAGATTATTAATTTACATTAATTATGAACTGGAAAATACTGGAACTTAAAAGCATGAGGATTATTGAATTCCTTTCAAATTATCATTGTAATTAATAAATCCTTTCTCTTACTACTCTTAAAAGTATAAAATACTTTTTACTAAATTTTCAATACATAAAATAGCGTCAATATATCCCTTGATAAAATATTGAGCTTATTTTGGGAAAATACTTGATATATATCAAAAAAACTTAATTTTGTGATAATGGACAAACGATTTTCCTAGATTATTAATTTACATTAATTATGAACTGGAAAAAACAGGAACTTAAAAGCATGAGGATTATTGAATTCCTCTCAAATTATCATTGTAATTAATGAATCCTTTCTCTTACTACTCTTAAAAGTATAAAATACTTTTTATTAAATTTTCAATACATAAAATAGCGATATATCCCTCGATAAAATATTGAGCTTATCTTGGGAAAATACTTGATATATCAAAAAAACTTAATTTTGTGATAATGGACAAACGATTTTCCTAGATGCCTATCAGGATGCAAAAAATATAAATATTGTTTTGCAATCAAAAATAGTCCTTGTGCAATTTTCCAGTTATAAGTCGATAAAGTTCTGTACAGACCATGATGTTCAATCTTAATGAATATGATTTAAATGTGTATATTATAATTATCTTCTAACCTGCCCCTGTATGACGTTGGAATCGTGTTCGGCATTAGCCCCGACTAGTTTGCAGTACAACTCCGGCCCTTGTGTGTCCACGCCGCATGTGGCGCTAGCCGTGATCTTCCTACCCTCGGCCAAATTGAAGTACGGGGGCGTTAAAATCACTGATTCCACAATTGGCAAACAACAATAACACAACAGCACTAATAATAATAAAACAACTGAACTATTATCGACGTTTTTTAACAGTTTCATCATCGACGGCCGTCGATGCGGATCGCCTTTGATCCGCATTTTGGCAGCGGCGCAGTACGATTACTCTTAGCCACTCTGCGCTACACAGCAGCACTGAGGAGAGCGACGGCGAAGCACTCTTCGACACGAGAGATCTCGCCGCTCGCCCTGTACTTAAATGACAGCGCTGCTCAACCTATGGAAGGAAAGGATTTTTCAAAATTCGTAAACGGACACGAAAATAAAAATAAACATATTTTGAATACAAACAGAACTAGTCGTGCGTGGCATGGAGCCTTAAGGAAAATTGCTGGAACTTCCCGTACCAATTTTTTTTTAAAAGGATTAAATTTTTTTTCATACTTTGAAAAAAATAGATTTTTGAAAAATTTTTAATTATTGAAAAAAATTAACTTTTTGGAAAATGAAAGACTTTTTGAAAAAAATGAATTCTTTTTTTTGAAAGATTTTGGAAATTTTGAGCTTTTTTTCAAAGATAGGGTACGCCTTAGCGGCATAGAGACAAAATACCGAACCGCGTAAGCGCCAGGTCGCCGTCTAACGGACAAACGATGTTACGGAACCCATAGAAATGTGAACAAAAAATCCCCATAAAATATCTGATACTTTGATGTGCATATGTCTAATGATCATTTTTGACCGCTAAATGTATTTTTTTTACTTTTTTCACTAGATCTCCAAAACCGCTAGACCCGCCTTCCCAAACATTTAATCAGTTCTTCATCTTGTCAATACAAGTAAAATGTTTTTTGAATTATTCAAATCGGACGCTCAGTTCTCTTAAAAACTGAGTTACCGTTTGTGGCATTTTTTGCCCCGTATCTTCGAAGCGGCTAGACCTGCCTATGCCAAAAACTAATCCGCACGTTCCCTTATCAACAGCAATCAAATGTTTTTTGAATAATTGAAATCGGTTGAACCGTGTTCCCGAAATCGTCTACGAAAATTTGTATCCGCACACACACATACATCAATTTTTTTTAAGGTATGCCAAAATGTTCAGAAACCCCTGAAACCGAACTAGTCGTGCGTTCCGTTCTATCTAAAACTGAATTGCCATTTTTTGCACTTTTTGTGTTCCGTATATCCAAAACGGCGGGACCTGCCTTTACTAAAAACTAATCAGCACGTCTTCCATCAATAAGTATGGAATGTTTTTTGAATCCTTCAAATCGATTGATCAATCAATGTACATATATGAAGAATTTTTCAATATTTTTTGCGATCACTATAACCAAACAAAATTCTTATTATTTGGCTAAAAGTGTGATAATTAAATTTTACTAATGTTTAATTAACGGTTGTATAAATTTTAGTTAATAATCATTAATTAAAATAATTCCATATGTTTAAATAGTCAAATACTAAATTTAAACAATAATCGTAAATAGGCAGCAGATAATCTTTCTAATCCGTAAACCACTAATATACTTTTCACACAACATTATAAGTGAATATGTATGTATCAAAATCGTAAAAAAATTAGAGTTATTAATCAACGTAGTTTAAGAAAGATTATCTGCTGCCTACTTATGATTATTGTTTATTAAACTTAAAATTTGATTATTTAGTATAGTTACTATACTAAAAGAGGTCACGAGTTCGATACCCCCTTCGAGCAGCCTGCTGTCAGGCAACAGTGACAACGATTTTCACTTGGAAATATAAATAGCAATATGTTTCCAAGTGAAAATAGCCCTCAGTCGGCATTGTTGCACCATACTTGCCCCATTACAGAGATTATAATAAAAATTTATCATACAGAGATGTGACAACTGTTTGGGTTGCCATCTGTAAAAAACAAACGTAGTTTGTAAGGTATTAATCACAACAGCTCATAGACCCATAAGTTCTGATCGCTGTTCGAATAATAAAAAAAAAAAAACTATACTCAAAATTTAAATTTCCAATTTCGATTAACTTTTTTGTGACGTGAATAAAAGGTTGACATAATCTGGCACTGAAAAATCTTCCGCAATATTCGTAACCGATAAAAGATTTTAAATTTATTTAAAAAAATACTGAAACCAATATTACTCAAATGAATAAACAAATAATAAACTATATATTAAAAAACTGCATTAAAAAATTCGCTCAATTCGAGAAACAGAGTAAATGGCTAATAAATAAGCTTTAAAAATACCCAAATTCTGTTAATTGAATATCCGAAATTAAAAAATTAATATAGTTTCTTAAAATAATTTATCGTTATAAGTTTTCAAGATTCGATTAAACACAATTCGAATAAAATTCAAGATTTTATTCAAAATTACTATAGAATTTTATTCCAAAATTTTATCTTTCAATTAGATAAATGTTGAGAAACGCTGTAGTAAACAAACATCCAAAAATGTGTGTAGTGATCTATACTAGTGTGTTGTGTAGTAGAAGAGATGCCATCTTCGGCTGTTCGCATGTGCCGAGGACCGAAGAACTTATTGGGAGCTCTAACAGCTAACACTTGATGCATTCGATGCATTCGATACATTCGAGATCCGATGAGATGCGACTGTGTGGGTGCGCTCGAGAGGACAGAGACGGCCGATGACTATTAAAATACGCAAAGTTTTAATATAGAAGTAATATTTGAATACGCAAGATATTCGGAAACTATATAATTAAATTATTTCTACGTACTCAAGACTGTTAATTCGCTTCAATTGAACATATCCAGTGGCGTCGGAAGCAAATTTTTGATGGGTGGGCTCGATTTTTTTATAGGCAGCCAGTGGGATAGTTTCTTTTGGGTTTGCTAAAGCCCACACGGTTCCGACGCCACTGAACATATCACTTGTTTATAAGAACAGATATAAAGATGTTCCTAGTAGCGCTAATTATATGATTAATATCATTCAAATTATAGAAAACTAGACAGTATTATCTATTATTCTAAATGTCATATTATATTAATTTTTATTTCAATTATTATTTAGTGCAAACGTTTCGTTACTCATTAATTCCATTTAAATAAAATTTTGATTTCATTTATTACTTTATCTACTTTAACAGAGTTTTATTTAAAAAAAAAAACAAAGTCTGTTTTAACTTAAAATAGCCGCATTTTATGTAAATACCTTTAACTTCCCAAAGGAGAAGTTTATGTTTTCATCAAAAATTCCGATTCGCTAATTTTATGTTTTCTTGACGTTTCAAGCCATTCTGAATCGAATGAGACTAAATTTGGAAAAAGTATGTGTGTGTGTGTGTGTATGTGAACAGATTTTTTGCCGTAAATCGACGTTTGATCAAAAACGCCTGAACCGACTTTAGAAATTTAAAAGCCATTTGATGTACCTCAATGAGAACTATTCTCTGTCAGTTTTGTGCGACGATCTGCCGAGCCGTTGTAATTTGAAAAAAGTGTTAAACTTTTCGTCCACATTTAAGCTCATACTAACGAATCGATTTAAAAAAATCAAAAGCTGTTCGAAAGATAGTTGGGAATAATACTGATTAGTTTTAGGTGAAAATCTATCGAGCCGTTTTCTTGTAATTAACTGTTGAAAAAAAATAAACCGGTTTTTATGGAACTTTTTTTGGCGATACATATCATGGTCCTATAGAACTTACTGAAATATTACGGCCAAGTAATAAAGAGTTACGACAAGTAGTTTAATTTTAAAAAATCATCAAAGTTTGAGAAAATGACTAGTTTTTTTGGCGTTTGTTAAAATTAAAATTAGACGATTTACTTAATATAACGATAGAGTACTTAGTCTTAACAAACCATTAAAGTCCTACGGAATAAGGTACAATTATAAAAATTATTCATTTGTAAAAATTTGGTTTTAGAAAATACTCCGAGTTAAAGTGTTCGTTCGTTTTCAATTATGTGTAAAAAATCCACTCGGAATACTTTTAATCACTCATAATTAATTTATTTTTTATTGATTAAGTCGATTATTTACACATATCGCGAATTTCATGTAACTTGCCTAAAAGCAATTATTCTAAAATACCAATACCAACTAGTTTAATTTTAGTTATAATTTGTTTATTCCAAAAATACTAATTAACTAACATATCTATTAATCAAGATTCATTTTTTATATGTAAACTTTCACGTGCTTACTCTTTTCTTTGCATAATAATAATAATATTTTTTAAAAATACAATAATTAATCTAAATTATAATTATACTTGAATAATATGCATTATATAAAATTAATAAAATGTACTGCATAATAATAGACTTGTCGTTATTTACTGAAGTTTTGTTATGAAACGATTTGCCTAATTTCTTGAAAAAATTATTAAAAAAAAGCATTTTTAAATATAGTAAATTGCTTGCTTTCAACCGAACCAATATTAAATAAATTATAATTGATAGATTTTATTCATTTAGAAAATCGGTAATTCATAAAATATATTCTACTATATATTTCGAACAGTATACGAACATCTTTCAAAAAATTGCAAGACCCTAATACATCCCTGAATTGCGCATACATGTAAATAATCTCAAATGATCCAGCTGATATATGATCTATATTCAAACACTTAATTTGTATTCATAATTTATTTAAAATGTTTTTTGAAACAATGTGTTAGAAATTTACTATTATTTGCACAAAATTAGATAAAGATAACTATTTCACATTCGACGTATTTTGGATATAGTTATAACTGCGTTGATTTTTTGAATCAGACATAGATTTCAATCGATACAATTAATATTAAAAATTAGACCAAGATTGAACAAAAAAGTTTTTCATCTAATTTTGTATTTTGTACAATTGCGTATTGCTAATATAAAAAATTACAGCAAAATATATTCAGCTCTTATTTCTTAAAACATTTGTGTTCGGTTTAAAAAAATTAAAATAATTGTTTTTTGTGCTGAATTGTTAAATATCAAATTATATTCAAATTACATCTTTATGGTATAAAAATCGACAAGATTTGATTCCCTTTTTAAAAAATTGTCTTTTTCTTAAAATCGAAACAAGAAAATATTTCATTTTTTTTTGGTTATTAAATATTATTTAATTCAATGGCATTTTATTAATCGTGAACATAAAATTTTAAGAAAGAGGGCAATGCCTTCTATGAACCGAGTTCTATGTGTAATGAGAAATTATTATCTCTAAACTAAATATAAACATACGATTACTATAGATAAACGAATAGTTATTTCTATTCGTCAAATTTAAACTTTTGCCGGAATGTAAAGGATTTAAAACATTATAAATTTGTCGTTTTTGAATTGAATTAATATTAAATTATAGCAGGACTCAAAAAAAAGAGTAGGGTAGACGTAGGTAAACTATACATTTGGTTACAATTAACGCATAACTAGTTTGCTCTTTGACCTTTACTGGTTTGATAAAAATAATGAATATGGTTCAATGATTTGAAAGATGATGATGAATAAATTATTTAGGCAAAGTCAGAATTAAAATTCAAACTAGTGGTGTATAGCATCGTGCCTTAAGGCGTAATTAAAAATCTTGGTACGGAACCCTTGGAACGGAAAAATTTACACAAAATGTGTACACATTTGAAAAATGACATTTTTTTACATTTTTTACTTGATCTCCGAAACCGTGAACCTGCCTTCCCAAAAATTTAATCAGTTCTTCATCTTGTCAATATAAGTAAAATGTTTTTTGAATTATTCAAATCGGTTGATCGGTGTTCCCCAAATCGTCGACGAAATATTGTATCCGCACACACACACATGCATCCATTTTTTCTAAGGTATGTCAAAATATTCAGAAACCTTTGAAACGTAAAGATATATGAAAATTTTCATTTTTGATTTTTTTGCGATTACTATAACTTACTCTAATAACAATGGCAATAAAATTTATTAAACACTTGCTAAATAAAAATTGAGAACATTATTTTAATACCTATCATTTTTTTACACAATTTGTATAATATTTTTCACGTATAATTCATCATTACAAAATTATTTCACAACAAAATGATCAAATCATTTATAGGGATGCTTTTATGACTTTTTCATTAGAATCCAATTATCAGAACTTTCCAGTAATCCGACAGATTTTTGTTAGTGTCGGATTATCAAGAGTCTAATATATATAAATATACACATTTGTTTAATATAGAAAACATGCATCGATAATAATAAAAACCAAATAAAATAAAATGTAATATCGATAAAATATATATTACCTGAAAATCTATCCCAATTTGTGGTCCGTTTGCTTCAACTTCGTAGACGGTATTGCAGTCCTGGTTGCAATCCAAACAGCACTATAATCAAGTCTGATAGCCAGAAATATACTGAGAGAATCTGGAGATTCTGAATCAATTCTAGAAACAACTATTGCTTCTACGACATCAGATCTGGAGCAGATCACCGCAGCAGCAATGTCCAGCCAGCGAAAGTCTGCAAAAATATACAAACTTGAAATCTAGAAATAATAAATGATATTGTAATACCCTACCAGAATTGGCCTGCAAACAGATATATTGATCACTTTGGGTGATATTAACTTGTTCTTGAATAAACTTGCATTCATTATCATAAAGGGCAGTAACGTTGAATGAAATGAGTTTAAAGGCTTTGACATAATCTTGTTCCTCATCACTTTTAAGCCAGCCGATAACTTTACATTGTTCACCTGTTAAAATATAATAAAGAATAGTTGAAAATTGAAAGAAAAAAATAATTTTAACAAATATGTAAATGAATGCCGAGATACTAGGGTACTAGTTCAAAACCTGCGTTGCGTTCAAACCCGATATCAAGCAGTAGCACTATTAATCTTTCATTAATAATATAAATCATATATATGTTTACAAGTGAAAACGACTTTGTCGGAAAATAATGCCGGATTATAATTCATTCGCTAATCATAAATAATAATGTATTACAATTATACACAATAGCACAATATTGTGTTACCGGTCATAATACAAATTTCCAAAATTTATTTAGAAATTCGTGTTATGAGCATTTTTGAGCAAAAATATTTAAAATTCTTAATTCATACCAAATATATCTGTCTGAAGGCCTGAGTACTGAATCGGCTTAACACTGGTAGATTGAGTCAGAAGATCTTTAAGACCAATAAGAGCTGTTAAAAAAAATAAATTAATAGAGAATTTCTCGAACAAAAATTAAGCAATTTTATATCTACTACAAACTTACCAACTCCATAATCGAAATTGGTAGGACCAGTTGAAGAATTTTCATGTACTATGAAAAATTTACAAGCTGATTTTTTTCCGTATCCTGTGCTTTCAACACCTGTAACCACCTGAAAAGTCAAATCTATTTTGAAGATGCATTATGATTAAATATAAATGAAACTATATTATTTTGAATATAAATTATTATATATTTCCGGATGCTATTCTTTAAAATAAATTTGAATAGAAGTATGCTAGATATTCAAAATGATGTTATATGATCTTGATCGATATATGATATAATAGTAAATCTTTATCAAATATTTTGATTACTTCATAATATGCTGGATCTCTTAAAAGTTCATCTTTCGTATAATTTTCGGATCCTTGATGGAGTAAGCATTGAGAAGCCGTTAATATCCATGTTAATGTTATGATTATACCTGTACAAAGATGTCTGAAAAATATAAGAAATAATCATTATTTTAAAGAATGAGTCTATTTATCATTAAAAATATACATACCTTCCCAGAAGAAAAGTTTCTTCGATTGAAGTTATAAATGGATAATCTTCTATATTGACAATAGATAATTCAGTTGACATCTTTCATAAGATAATTGGTATTTAAATAAACTTTCAATTGTTTCCTTTTTTTCGTATATAATAAATGACATTAAAAGTTTAGATTAAAGAAATAGAAAAATAAAATTAATTAATTTAAATACTTCTGCAAAGCATAGCTTGCTATATTATTAATAAATATACATATTATATAAAATTTTAAGTATGATAGCTATTGAAGAAATATCATAATTTTTTGATATACGATTATTGAATGCAATTAATGAATATTAAAGACACAATAATGTATAATAATGCTATATTCCATACTTTATAACAATATACATATATCTATATAACTATATGCTTTACTAACAAGTTTTATAATTATTTAGTTCATTAAGTCCCATAGGTATAAATATATACATTACGAACAAAATTGTATACACGCTGATAAGTTACTTTAATCAGTACTTTTTAATGTTTATATAATTCACTAATATAAAATTTAAAAGAATACAGCTAACATTTTGGTTCATTTTATAAATATAGAAATATCTCAATCAAAATATAACTTCTACACCAACCAAAATAAATTTTAAAAATATATCATTTCATATTAAAAATATACATAACATTCACACACAGATGCATATACATATCGACGCTCAAAAAAAAATTGGTTCATATTAGTGAATTATAATTTAATAAACTATTTTTATTCATCTTTTTACCGATTTCAAAAATAAAATCAACAAATAAGTAAATTAATTTGTCTACATCACATAATAGGTTCCTAAGGTATTGCGTGTCAAAACGGTTTTTAATAGTTTAGTTTAGAAATCTTAGCTATAAAAAATCGAATTACTTTGAAAAATTCATTATACATACCTGATTGTATCAGTTTATTGACAATTTGAGTACTTATAGCTTTCGGGTGATAAGTTTATTTGCTGTTTCTTGACATTTTGCTGTTTTAGTAAGTAATACAATTGCGCTGATAAAGTTGCAACTTGTACATTAGTAAATGTTGAATAAAGAAGATCTATAAGCATTCAACTTGCCAGCGAACTGAGAAAATTTTTCGGCGAATGATATACATTTTATTGCTACATATCCTTCAATAATCATCATAAATATTTTATATCACCCATTGTATCACTATCCATCGGCTCATTTATTTCCACAATTTCACAACACCGTCTCTAGAAGCTGTGACTATTGAGCATTGTCCAGCACCTCCGCTCGTGCCTGCACGAACCAATATTACTTCTGCTAAAGGCGCTAGGTGACCAGTAGGCGGGGCATCTGGTCCAGGTCTAGGTAACTCTTCGGGGCCACCGGACACCGAACCACTAGTGCGTCCGGTAGGACCACTTGGAACTTCCTGGACGACTGATGTGCCGTCGATAAGGCGCGATCTGGGAAGAATAATATAATTATACAAAGAATATGTCATAATTCAACCATTCATAATAGAAAGCCAAACCGAATAAGTTAATCAATTAACGAAGAAGAAGGCTTAATAAATTACATTGAAATCATCATGATATCATCCAATACAATGTGTTTTCGTGGATGAGATAAGTAAAAACGTAATACAAACTTGTAAATAATATCTTGAGAAGATAAAGAATCGTTAGGGGCTGGTATGAGTAAACAAGATTCTTCGGGTCTATCTAAATTCCAAAACCGAACTCTCTGATCGGATCCTCCTGCTAATAAGAAACCAGTGCGATCCACGCATCCGGCATACATGGCACATACTGAGTGTGAAGAAACCTTTAATCAAAAGAATCATATAAATTAAAATAAACAAGATAAAATATTAATAATAAGTATTGCATTTGTTTCAATAGCAGCAAGTTCTTAATCAAGATTATTAGATAACGAGTATTACCTGAGTGTTAGATAAAGGTGGAGCAGAGCTAGCCCAAAGCACAGATTGCCGAAATCCTGTTTCCAAATTCCAAAGAGAAACTTCATTGTTGCCTTGAACACTGGATAAAATCCAAGACGGTTGACTTGGATGACAAATTACTTTACGAACACGAGATTCTGTAATAAAAATATATCACATGATGAATAAAAATGATATGCCGTAGACAATTTTATATCATTATAATTTCATAAAATATTTCTTTTATACTCACTAGTTGGATGATCAATAGAAGCAATCGGCAAACGAAAACGCAAATCCCAGCAAGAATGTTTGCCGTGACTTGTTCCAATTGCGAGCCAGCAATCACCAGGATCCATGCACATACTGGTAGTGAAACCATGGCGCAAATCGGCTTGCATGCGCCAAGCGACTCCTGAATAAAAGTCACGCAAAAAGAAAAGAGTAAACATGAGAACATTACTCTCCCTATCAAATAAATCATAATAGTCATTTTCAACAATTCTACCCTTATAAATATATTATATTCCCTATTATATAATATAATCTACATATATATAAAAATAAGTCGGGTTTTCCTTCCTGACGAAATAAATCCAGAACGCACGAACAGATTTCGACCATTTTGCATTCGTTGGAAAGGTCTAGGGCTCCGCAAGGTTTATAGCTAAGAAAATTAGTGGTGCCTTAATGCAAATTGCTGGAACTTCACGCACCGTAATTGAAAATTCGAGTAATGACATTAGTGAGAATTATCGGAATTATGCTTAGTTAAGTCAACGAGCAATTCTTGCAGCAAAGAATAATGATGTACGCGCACTGAATTTCACCATTCAATCAAACATTGCTGGCGATTTGGTGACATACCAATGATTCCGACTGGTCTTCCGTTTGACTTCAAACGATTGCAATTTCCAGTTCGCCTTGCATTCGCAATAACAAGTCGCATGGCCAATCGCTTAGTGTTTGCAAAATAAATTTCAAATAGATTATTTAGAAAATCATTGTTTTTCACATGGGCAGTTATACGTTGCCTGTTCACGAGTTGGAAAACCATCCGCTTTGTTTGTGTTAACGTCAGACCAAAAAACAAAAAATGTGGTTTACCAAAGAGCACGTCAATGAAACGGATAATTTGCGGATTCACTTTCATTTACTTAGAGAAGTTCAACTAAAAAACACTTCATTTTTGTAATCGAAATAAATTCATTACTGTTGTGCAATAAAATCAAATTTTTCCTTTTCAAATATAAAACAAACAAAAAATGTCTTCATCTTTCTCATGAAACCATCTGGTGGCGAAACGGAGTTCGTCGAGTTTGCTAGTTTATTATAAAATTATTTATCTATTATATCCCGTATAATTAATTATTTAGTAGAATCGTAAATAGAACAAACATAAAAGAAATTACAAAACAAATATATTAATAAATATCTTACTTACCAGGTGCTCTTAAATCCCATGCGACAAGCCCTCCGTACAAAGTGGCGTACACTAATACTGATCCTGCTCCACGTTGAGTCACGCAAGCAGCCAAAGGAGGCGAATCATCCAAATCCAAATCACCACTTGCTCCACCAAATTCGACGCTGCTGGTGCCTCTCAGCAGGGACGTGTACCTAGGAGAAGCGTCCACGCGCGTTACCTGTAATTGACCACTGCGCGAAGCAAACGCCAGGGTTCTTCCTGACTCTAATGATGAAACGAACGTTAAGGGACCTATGCGAGGAGTGAACAGTTGTTTTGATCTGTAAAAAAGTAAAAATAGGAAATTGACACAAGAAACATTTGAAACTAAAACTAGTGGGGTGGGTGGCATCGTGCCTTAAGGCAAATTGCTGGAACTTCCCGTACCGTAACGAAATGTTCAAGGAATACTGAATGTTTTCAAATAAATTATTATAAATATTGTAACATTGTCTAAATTTATTAGTATTATATAAACTGAATTGCTTGTGTTTGAAAGCAATTATTATTTGTTTAAGTTATTAGGAACTATAGTCAAAATTAAAAATAAATCTGAATTATTTTCGATATACCAAAAATTAAAAAAAAAAAAAATGAAACAATCTTTTTTTCCAAAATCAATTATTTTGTTAAGACAAGCAGAAAGTTCTTTGAATCATACAAATCGGACGCTTAGTTCTCTCAAAAAACTGCCATTTTTTACATATTTAGCTCCGTATCTTCAAAATGGCTGGACTTACCTTTGCCAAAAACTAATCCAAACACTCTCCCCATCATACTAATTGAATGTTTTTAGATCATCAAATCGGATGCTCCGTTCTTTCAAAAAAGTCGATTTCTATTTTCTGCACTCTTTGCTCCGTATCCCCGAAACGGCTGGACCTGCCTTGCCAAAAACTAATCAGCTCTTTTCCCTATCGATAGGAATCGAATGTTTTTGAACCATTCAAATCGGTTGATCCGTGCGCCCGAAAACGTGACTGGAAATTTGTATCCAAAATACATACACACACACACATCCATTTTTTTGAGGTATGCCAAAATGTTCAGAAACCTTCAAAACGTCGAGAAATAAAAAAATTTTCAATTCCGATTATCGGCCCATTACAATAATTTACCCTACGGGAAGTTATTAAAAATTCAAAATCTAGAATAATTTACGTAGTTTTTGAGTTACATCGAATGGTTGTTAATTTTGTTTATTCAATCAATTATATCAGTATAATTTATTTTTGCATACCTGTTGGCTACACTTTGGCCTTCCATGCGAGCGGCGTCCCATAATCTAATAGTTCCATCCAGAGAACATGTTACAAAAAGTGGAGAATCGGGAGAAGAGGTATCAGGCCAGTTATGTTACCAGAATGCTCGTGCAGGTGTGCTATGTGTCGTCCCCGAGGTGTCCAGCCAGG